CTATAGTTTAATCAAGTATAAATTGTTAGATAAACAGTGTTAGCCACATTATACTCAACTGCAACGTGGATAAGAAATAGCCTGATCACTAAAGCGTCTTTCCATTTTCAAATAACTGTCGCGAGTGGTAAAAACGCTCTGTTTTACCAACGGTTCGTTCACTTCTCGATTTGCGCCCACGAGCCGATGTGCCCAATTTGGGATGGGCACTTTGCGTGCGAGCCAGGTCCCGGTCGCACGCACGCGATGAGCTCGTGACCGGGGGACTCCGTTATTATATCACCTCTCATGAGCAGCGGTAGCAGGTAATCATGCTGTTGATCTCGACTGTGCTGTCTCACGATCGTATGCTTTGTCTGTGTGCATGTGTTGCAGTGCGTTTCAAGTGATGTCATGTTATTTCGAGTGGTATCAAGTCGTGACGAGTGATGTCGAGTGGTACCGAGTGATGTCAAGTGATGTCGAGTAATGCCAAGTGATGTCAAGTGGTGTCGAGTGATATCGAGCGGCGTCGAGTCGTTTTAAGTGGTGTCGAGTGTCCTGCTTATCGATTTTGTGCTATGTCCGTGTGGATATGTTGCAGTGCGAGGAATTTGTTTGACTGACTAGGGCGTAATTTAACGACATGTGTAATACATGCGTAATGTTTATGCAGAAATTAGTACTGGTCTTAAAAGCATTGATCATTATAAGAAAATTTTTGTTCACTACCTCATACTGTTTATTTTTAATGGCTAGTTTGAGCATTTAAACGAAAGCGCACGAAGTGGACTGAAAGAAGTCTTTAAGATGTCTCGAGTGACTGCAGCAATCGGAATTGACGCTAACAAGGTACTACTGACCTGACCTATGGCAAAACCTTTCGAACTGGCGTTGCGGCAACCGCGTACAAAAGAATTACTGTTTTAATCAAAATTGACAGTGCAAGGTGAAGAAGAGTAGTGGACGAAGCAAGACATATGTATGGCTCTCACGCAAAGCGCCAAACCCAAAATGGGCACATCGGCTCGTGGGCGCAAATTGAGAAGTGAACGAACCGTTGGTAAAACAGAGCGTTTTTTTACCACTCGCGACAGTTGCCTGAAAATGGAAAGACGCTTTAGGGATCAGGTGTTGCAGTTGAGTATAATGTGGCTAACACTATGCTAGTTTGCATACTCAACCCAAGTATAACAATAGATAAATTCAGACTTGATTAAACTATAGTCTTGGTTTTGGGACTTTCGGACATTTGTGGTCCTAATATTGAGATTTGCTCATTTATTAACAGACATTAACCATGATAAATACAGTTCTACTTTTTACTTTAACCAAGTACTCGCTTCTTCTTACCGTCTTCCTCTGCACGTACGAGTGTACGTGAAGTTACGAGGCACCGTCTTAATCTGTCGTCAGAATTAGTAGCTTGTACTGTCACCAGTACAAGCTTCAGGGTGCCCCGTTGCAGGCGTAGTCTGGAGACAAGTACGACGCGGCGTGTCTTTTCGCACGATCATTTTACTAGCTCGTCTACGACGGTCATTTAGCAAGACGCGAAGCGGACTAGCCGCATCCAAACTTCCATCTGCTTATAATGTCGGTAATGATTAGGTTTGATCCCCGCACAGCCTGCTGTACAGTAGTTGACTAGGATTGGTGGTGCTACCTCTTGATCGGAGCAAAGCGCTGCGAGCGAGAGTTGGAGTACTGGATAATACACTACCGACTATTGACAATAGAGAACTTGTCGAGAACTTTACAAAAAGTATCGCCAGGGTAGTATACTGGGCATCAACACGTGATAAACGACAACGCAAAAGCCCTGTCAAGGTCAACAATGATATTTTCGATTAGGCCATGGAGATGCATCCCACTTGTTTCTACACTCGTTTGAACCTTGGGCGATGAACAATAATACGCGCACCCACATAAGGCTATCGAAAGGTCGATCACAAAGTCGCATGACGATTCCGTTTTAACAGGAATGCTGATCTTACATGATATAAGCTTTGTGTGAATCTAGGGAAGTAGAAGCGTCGTCATTTAAATCGCCGCTGTCTCTACAACAGCATTGTGACAATGCTTGTTGTCACATCGACTTTCATTATCACGTACATCAAGTACTACTATACGTTGTCGATATGACAACTGATACTGTTTTTGTGCTGGTTCTGGTCATATAGATACAGACAGACGTGCTACGAAACAAGCCTCGAAGCTGAACTTGTTACTGACTTCAGATTTTTTTCATCTATTGCATGTTATATCATCCTATTTTTTGCGAGAAACGAATCCAAATCTAATACCACGCGACCTTGGACACGTTCAATTTAAGTGGGACTGGTCAGCTTGCGATCATGACCCAGGGCACTAAAGTTTTTCCCGCTGCATTTCTAAATGCCAGGACCGCCGTTCTTACTCATGGTATCGAAGACAAAGTTTCGCTTCAAAGTCATGCGTCGCGAGCTATTAGATCGACAACCAGCCGGCTCACCAGGAGCGCTGTTGTAGGTAGTCAAACTTGAGAGCGAAGAAGCTCGTTCACCCTGAAAACCGTGTAATTTGAATGATTGTAACCAGGATGATATATTAGTCGCGAGTGGCTCGCTTCGCCTAAGGTGAAACAGGCAACTAGCAAGGCGTCGTGCACATGTACATCATCGCAGGCACCTCATTACTATGGGTATCAGATGATCGTGCATTCTGAGCATATGAAGACTTACACAATCGGCCCAGGAGATTGTCTCAAGACGTTCTTTCTACCAAGGTCCCTTATTGTGAACTGCTAGTTTCTTACTTTTGGTGCAAACGATAAAAACGAGCACATACGTCTGAATCGATCGACTGTAGGTGCTGCGATCACGTGTAGTTGTCCACGCGACATAAACTAGTAGAACGGCATTTCACTTCGTCGATGTAGATTGTGCCTAAAGGGCGCGGCAACAGTAATCGTCAAGTTTTGATGTATAACTTGATGCGATCAGTAGCCAAGAATTGTCCGTTTGAACGATATCATCGTGGATGAGTGCGCTATGACGATCGTGCATTATTAAAAAAAAACGAACCCAAATAAAAGACCAAATGTAACGAAGGAACGGTTTTATTTTTCATCCAATCGCCACTCCGACAATCATACCACGACGTCGGGACAAGCTTCCATTAGTCACGAACGAGCACGCCTCCGTGTTCGAATAAAGGACCGTGTGTACCCAGGACAAAAGTATACTTCGAGCGTGACGGTGCAGATACGTAGCTAGATAGGGCACTAAGCTGCCTGATGTGGTCTATAACTTCATTCGAAATGAGCTTGCAGGACTGTATCAATTGCGTCACTCATGCAGTCTTATCTTTCGGGAAGCGTCAGCTCCTGTTTCGTTACTTTCGACAGCATTTTGACTGACTTCGCTGTATTATTTCTGCTGCCAGTAGTCGATCGCGTTGCATGATCGGGGCTCGAGTCTGAATGCCGTTGTCGTTCCTTCTGATCGATTCACAATGACGCCGTCGACCTGTCACACTCATACATCAACCTTGCAGGTCCTAGCAGCGGCATCACAGTTTCGAGCATTGCTCAAGGACGACGTGTTGGCAAAAGATTTGACATTTGTCAAAGCGCAGATTGGCTGCGTCCACCTTGCACATACAACCCATACAGCTGTACAAGACAGCACTAGCTCTAACTCCCGACTTACATCCAATGCTACAAAAGTACCTGTGGTAACGACGTTGTACACGATCGATCGCCAACAGTCGCTCATCGTTAAGCAGGACAAGTGTGAGGCAACTTGAGACGGTGTTTCACCCACCGCCAGTGCCTTTTGTTAACACTTCTAGGCTAAAAAGAGCCCTAGGCTGCTCGACTAATATTAAAAACGAGCACTTTGCAGCACGTGCAACCGTGTCGCTACGCCAGGGAAGTGTGCTGTACGTGTTTTTTTTCTCGTACCGTCGTCGTATGGCCAAACGATCTGTCCGCTTTTTGCGACTCTTCCTTCGGCCACGTCAGTATCGAGAGCAGACGGTACGAGGTGTCGGTGGTTGTGTTGCCCAACCTTTACGTTAGAGGTTGCTGATCGGTCGTCAAACGCCGAAGAATCACGCAAGAGATGTCCCGTACTCAGTCTTGTAGGGCATAAGGAGACGGTGCGCGATCCACACCACTGACGCGAGTTTTGTATTGCTTCCGAATGATGCACGTACGGGATGTTGAGGATATGTCGCATTCGGGCCCAAAATCTCCGATCTTGCATACAGTTTGCCAGCTAAGAACGACCCTTCTTGACGGGTTTTATAAAAGCGGGGAAATTCAAAGTACCTCGAAGAAGAGAGCGAGAAAGAAGCAGGTTGAAACCTGCAGCGTTTTCGCGTTAAAACCGCATCAAGAATTATCAGAACGCGCCATGAGGCGTTCCAACTCCAACAAGTACGTCTAAGAATGGAGGGCCCACATGTGTCTACCAGACAGTACGCGCGGTTCAATTTACACTGGAGCTCCTCTCGAAGATCATGAAATACTGCATCTCGAGATCAAGTGCAACGGCAGCTATAGACTGCTGCTGCTTCTATTATCACTACAATGCTCCTGAATAAAACCACCTTTACGACTCTAAGTTTCAGCACAAGGTCGTCAAAGTGACAATCGCCCAAAGCCGCGACCGTATCGTGTGGTGTTGTGTCTGGTCGCCAGAAAAAAGCCCAGCCAAAAAACCCACCCACCCACCCACACACGCCCCCTCTCCGTCCACACGCCAGCGAAACTGCAACATTACACTTGCTTTCACTATCGCCTCAGTCGCCCCTTCGCATCGCGGCCAGTTGACACTCCCCATCTCACTTGTCCCCAGTATCCAGCAGGAGGAACGACCTCGCCCTCCGCCACAAACACACACACACCCCGTCGCGTCATCGCCCCCCTCCCGCCACTCGCCCTCCAGCAGCTCATTTCCCAATTTGCTCGGTCCCCACCAGATCGATCCTCCCTCTCTTCCCCCTCCCTCTCTCTCTCCTCCCTCTCTCTCCCCATGGCTGACGAAGACGTCCAAGCCCTCGTGGTCGACAACGGCTCGGGCATGTGCAAAGCCGGATTCGCCGGGGACGACGCGCCCCGCGCCGTGTTTCCCTCGATCGTCGGCCGCCCCAAACACTTGGGCATCATGGTCGGCATGGACCAAAAGGACGCGTACGTGGGCGACGAGGCGCAGTCGAAACGCGGCGTGCTCACGCTCAAGTACCCGATCGAGCACGGCATTGTGACGAACTGGGACGACATGGAGAAGATTTGGCACCACACGTTCTACAACGAGCTCCGTGTCGCCCCGGAAGAGCACCCGGTCCTTCTCACTGAAGCGCCGCTCAACCCCAAAGCCAATCGCGAACGCATGACGCAAATCATGTTTGAAACGTTCAATGTCCCGGCCATGTACGTCAACATCCAAGCCGTCCTGTCGCTGTACGCTTCTGGACGCACGACAGGGTGCGTCCTCGACTCGGGCGACGGCGTGTCGCACACTGTACCCATTTACGAAGGCTACGCGCTGCCGCACGCGATTGTGCGGTTGGATCTCGCTGGTCGGGACTTGACCGACTACATGATGAAGATCTTGACGGAGCGCGGGTACTCGTTCACGACCACGGCCGAGCGCGAAATCGTGCGCGACATCAAGGAGAAGCTCACGTACATTGCTCTGGACTTTGACCAGGAGATGAAGACGGCGGCCGAGTCGTCGGGACTCGAGAAGAGCTACGAGTTGCCGGACGGTAACGTGATTGTCATTGGCAACGAGCGGTTCCGTACGCCGGAAGTGCTGTTCCAGCCGTCGCTCATTGGCAAGGAAGCTGCCGGTATTCACGACTGCACGTTCCAGACCATCATGAAGTGTGACGTGGATATCCGTAAGGATTTGTACTGCAACATTGTGCTCTCGGGCGGTACCACCATGTACCCGGGCATTGGCGAGCGCATGACGAAGGAGCTGACGGCTCTGGCGCCGTCGACCATGAAGATTAAGGTCGTTGCTCCGCCTGAGCGCAAGTACTCGGTGTGGATTGGTGGCTCGATCCTCTCGTCGCTCTCGACGTTCCAGCAAATGTGGATCTCCAAGGCCGAGTACGACGAGTCGGGTCCGTCGATTGTCCACCGCAAGTGCTTTTAAGCGGCGCGAGAAGGTGGACGAGACATTGCTGTCGTCATAGAATCTCGAGGCAACGGGGACGTGCTGCTGCCTTTGTGATGTCGAAGGTGGACCTTGAGGCTTGAGTGCTTCGGTTGACGGTCGAGACTCGGGGGCACACACGTGTCCGTTAACTTTGCTTTGTATGCTTGAAAAATACGAGGAGTGATGTTGTGATCTATGCACGGTGTTGGTGGGTGGTTTTGATGCTGGTAATGCTGCGTTGACTACGTCTCTCTTTCTTGACGCAGTGTGCGCGTGCTACATACTGGAATCAAGATCGAACCGTGTCGTTCCAGATGCTGTGGGAATGAGCACGTTGTACAGCTGCAAATCTTGGATCTCTTGAAGCCACGTCATCGGCTGGTTCCGCCGACTTTGTGTGTTATTGTCATTGTGTGCGACACAAAGAGTCACTTGATGCGGGTATTGGTGATAAAGTAGGGGAAGGAAGAGAGGGTACTCTCTTAGTTAATAGCTCTATCATTGCATCGCTTGCTAGCCGTTTCAGCGCTCATGCTGAACTTTGAGCACAATGAGGTACTTGCTATTTTCGCACACTTTGTCGTCGGAACGAAAGACAGTCGTGTCGTAAAGGACATCGAATCGGATTAGATTAAACCCGTCAGCAGAACTGTTTAATCGTTTAAACTTACTTTACACGTATTTGTTAGGATACGGCCTTTGTAACACAAGTATAAACGCTGAAAGCTACCGCAAGAAACAACGCTTTCGACTGCATAGGTTTACGACCAATTTACGCACTTTTATTGACCAAAGATCGGAGCACCGGTCCCATGTCGAAGGAGCAAGAAGGTGTACACTGAGTAAACCATGTGTCATAGCTGATCTCGTTTCTTTATCGCCTTAAGCACGTTACAAAGCATCGGTATGTAAAGCCTCAAAGCTCGATACAAAGCATGTAGCTTGGAATCAACGACTACCTCCACTATTGCTCATATTAACTGGAAGTACAAGACCTGAGGTGAGCGATTGCCGAACTAGATAGCTGTATGACCGTGGAGGTCGTCAACTACTTGCACATCAACCGAAGAGCCTGCGTGTGACATCCTACGAGTAGCTGCATGGACAAGAGAGTGATGTTTAGTCCTCCAGTCTGCAGCTTGACAGCCATCTTAATCGAGTCTGAGGCGGGTCATGGTATAGTACGCCAACACTGTAAAACAACAAGGGCTAACTTGGTGCATGTCGTGCGACGCACTTCTGATAGGCAAAAGTACTATTCGAAAGACGTGATAACGTGCACGGCAGTGCAATATCGAATCAAGCAGCATGCTTAACACAATGTTGGAATCATCTTTCATGGGTCCGTCCGTACTTTTAGCATGACCGAAGGGCCAACCGACGTAAACAATGCCTGGTAGTAATAGCAGTCGCACGATAGCAAATCGAGCAAGTCAAGATGCTCACGTCGATTCGAGTAGATATGGAGAAAAATGATCGCGTTCAGACCACAAGGTTGTATTGTCATGATACTGCCGTCTAAAATGATGTACGACATGCTGCGAAGTGTTGGCTGCATCAAACGGTTTTTGCGTCACGAGCCGTTCGTGTCTCGCCGGAATTCGTTACAAAGTATGAAGAATATCAAACCCGGGATCGGAACTGCTGCGAGCACACCAAAATGCGTGGACCTGTAAAAGTCTGAAGATGATGGAGGAAATTACAGGTTGCTAGTCCAAGTAACAGTTGTGTCGTACAGGTGTATCATTTCTTACAAGTGGATCCATATGCGTATTCAGAACAGGACAAACAGCTAGTCTCCGTGAAGTTACCAGCTTAGAACAATCTGTTTGCATCGTACACATGCTTCAGAAAGAGGAATGGGCATCGAACTACGATCTCCTATTTGACAGGCATAAATACTCCGATCAAAGGGACTACCAATTTTTCATCTGCTTTATCTACTCTACAGTTGACACATTGAAGGTCTTTTTGGTAGCTAGCCAGAAGCTGCTGCAACTTTTACCAAAGTGCTTACCTAAGCCGTATGACCGCGAATCACAAAGTATCCTTTCGATGTTCGCATTCCATAAAGCGTAGTAGTACTAGCATTTTTTAGATCGATGCTAGGATACAATGGCTCGCCAGCAACTCGGCCTTAACAATAAACTTGATCGATCAAGCAACGTTGAAACACCCGTGTGTCGAACATGACGCAGAGTTCGACACAAGTGCGATACCGAGGTAGCCACAATCTATGATTTGTTCTGAGGTAGCCACGATCTATGGCTAGTTCTGTCCGTAATCGAGATGGAGATCATGGAATAAGGCTAGTCACATTGAGAAGATCTTAGCACGCACCATTGTACTTATGAGTTAATCAGACTTTGCACGATATTTGTTTCAGCATCAAACGCAGTGTCTCTCGGTTGGTATTGCTGTTGGGTAGAAGTTGATAGCTCATCTGATTGCTATAAGTCAATCCTCAATCGATAAAGATACTACGTTGCACGAAATGAATGTGCTTACCCACTTTGGACCTCTCTCCGACTAGCCATCAACACCATTTTTGCAACGATTGAGTACGGTTTTGCAACATTCCTTCGATCTCTTCCGGTCAATGAATGCACTTTTGCAACATACTTCGTACTTCCGGTTATTAGACTGTAGTTCAGTGCTGACAGTCCATAACTCTTCGACTGAGCTCACTCATAAGGCATTTCCGTGCCAGACTTGATCAACGTCGTAAACATCCTTCGTTTTTGGATGTAATTTGCATGAATCTGTAGAGAAGCTGACGCCCTCACCGTGCAATAAATAGTCATGCAAGTCATCAGATTTTAAGCGTGGCTGTAAAATGGCCGCGGTAAAGAAGATGAAGCGAAAGAATTGGCGCTAAGAGGTGCTTTGTAAATTAGTTCGGAAGAACGGCGCAAAGGACCTTCACTGATGATTATGCCAAACTTTGTCATGTCCCATTAAGGTTACAATACGAGGAACTTAGTCTAAACTTTCACTTTCGATTGTGCAACACGATCCTTGCATCGTCGAAACACTGAAAACTCGCGCGCGTCGATATATGTCACGTTACACCAGCATGATGTTCCAGCGCTACGACTTCAAAGGTGTTTTCGCTATGAGTCACGGTCAATGTCTGACCATGTCTTGACGGCAGGTACATCACATCCACCGAGAAGTCAATGCTCGAGCATCTAAAAAGTGAGTGAGTAGTTGAAGGTTCAGTTCACCGATGCCATTTTGTTGATCATGACCTAGCACTTCTTTTTGTAACTCAACTTATAGACATGTGTTGCTACAGTTCCTGGAAGTGATTAGCCAAATGCACTCTGTCAAAGACGCAATCACCGATTTACAGCCAACTTTCCAGATCTTTCTAAATCCACGAGGGTCTCGCGTCTGACACCAGATCACGGCAAAAATCTTTTTGTCATACAAATGTGGAAACCTTTGCCTTGAAGCACACAAATTCCAGGTCCAATTCTGCACCTGTCGGCCCGCATCCTTCTCCACTATTCTTACACCTACAGCGTATCGAACTTCTGCGTGACATTCTTTGCTGTCACGTTTGACGCTCATCTCCACATTCAACTTCACAAGTTTCATAAAAATAGTGCTTGCGTTCTTCATGAAATTTGTAATGTTGTAATGGAATGAGTCATGCGATCCACCTTCCAGCCAAAAAAGGTTGTTGTGCCGGAGATTGTCGTATAGATGGGCTACAATCTCATTATTATTGTAAATATCTGTCCTTTATTAGACTAGGAGAAGCTAAGCAAACCTGTCCAAACTGTACTTTCGCGATGCAGGCATCATGACACCTACCCGAATGGCCTGAATCATATAGTCTATCTATCTATGTATGTACATATTTGCCACTTGACAATTGATTAGGCACCCGTGGGGCACATTCGAACTCTAAAGAAGGCCTGTATCGTGCACTTCACTATACAATTTAGAGCTGCCGCCTCGAAGCAGAGACAACTGTCGAAAAGCTACCGTCGTCAAACGTGGTTCTTGACGCACTTGACAGCTCATTGATCGCAGATCAATCGAGGACTTGACATTTGATGGGGCAGCACCGAGTTTCTTTTGACTTCATAGTAATTTCTGACGTTCAGGCATACGACTGAAGCCTGGACTGGGGCCGATTAATTTAAATGATCGACCTGCAAGACGAACGATCCATGCGCAAAAAACGGGATGTAACATGACAACGAATACTAAACGACTCACTAAAACATCACAATCACCTCTACGTAGCACATGTGCAATGTACAAGCCTTTTTTAGTTTGTGCAATTTGTCTATCGTTATGCCAAACCGATGTCAGTCACAACTTAGACGTCCTGTCGATCGCATCGGAATCGATCAATCCCTACGTTTCTTCTGATAAAAATTCCAATGCTTCGAACTACCTTGGCGCCTAATCCGATTGACGGAACTCCTGATGCGAGCTGGGATCGCCTAAGCAAGGTTCAAAACTCAACAGACCCGACAGCTACACGACACTTTCAAATGCAAGGTCAGAGTAGCGTTTGCGGCCCGAAGAATCATGTAGGACGGTCTATCTGCAAATGATCCAAGAGCCTCCTTCTATCAAAAGATAAAGCATACTGATCAAATTGGCCAAGAAACCACTAATTGTTCGAGAGCACACTGAAGTTCAATAAGGTATGACGTTCAAATCTATCCACTGTATCGAGAGCTTGCGCAAAGTGTCCCTGGGAGCCTATTGTTTGACTCTGCTAGCATGACACCGATCAAGAATATCACAAACTCAAAGAAGTGACACTAACACGTGAAATAAATCGAATAGTAACATCACGTGGACGGTGTAAGGTCTACTACACTCGCGCATCCGTAACACGAAAAACGCGAGTGAGGTCAACTCGATAGAATCTTGACGTTAAATCAGCTTGCAGGTCGACGATATGCGAGTATTGTGTAATAAAAATTCCATCGTGGCCATGCAATGCTTTTCATGAACATCAGGCTGAAGGGATGGATCGATTTCTGTCATTATTTGGTTCTCTTGATTCAAATATCATCGGTGCTGTACTTTCGGCACAGTGTAAGGAAGTTTACGATTCGTGTTATCATCTAAACTATGGCTGAGATCGACTCGTACTACATTTTCTCGTCTAACATTGGCGTAGCTTCACTAACATGAAATGTAACCTTCATAGAGCAGCGAAATAGGTGCCAACTCATAGGTTGAGCTGTAGGACACTTTCGTACTAGTGACGATCGGCTACTTGATGAAGTCAGATTTGTGCTATGAAGTGTGACTTATGTATTGCTCAACCTTCAACAATAGCGCAGTTTCGTAGTTCTTCAGTGAACAACCAGGGAATGCAAATATTCTTAGTAAGCTCAAGAGAGGAATTAGCACAACCGAACCGTAAAACTGCTGCTACAGAGCGATGACACATGTACAATCATTCATCGACTAGCGGTAGAAGTCCACCCTTAATGCATTCGATAGATACGCATGTTGGGGTGGTGGAGTATCCGATAGGTTCATTTGCAGTGAGTACTTCACCTAGTACATCGATGAAATGGTACATGAGAACCGTGATGTCGAGCCATGCGTACATAATGCGTCCTACATCCCAAAACTTCCATTGCATCCCAATCCATATTTCGCGCTCGTGCTCTTCTACACTTTTCACCTGCTCCATGTTGAATATGTGGTGTCTCATGTTCGCTAACTAGCATTATAGATCCAGCACGACTTTCCTCGCTCAAGACTATTCTATGATGCAGTACTTTACAACAAAAGAGCTAGTGCTAGGCTCTGGATGGTGATCGTCGACGTAGCAACGCCAAACGAATTAGCAGATGAGATCGAACGATTTTATCAGCGTGGATTCTACCTGTGGTCAGACGAATGCGTTTACTTGATCGAAGAAATCGCAGTAGCAGCAAACCTAGATCTTAGTTCAGACTGCTCTACAGCTAGAACAAGGTCAACGCAAGTAGACGTGCAACCAAATGCTCGGGACAAAATCAAATCTTCGTATACGTATATTGCATACAAGTGTACTTTGCCTAGCCACGCCAGCACCGACAAGTGTAGTGCTTCTAATCGAGCCCCTCATTCTAAAAAATTTAAATTAGATGAAAATTTAAAAAAAATGAATTCTTTTAGTGAAAATAAATTCAATAATTATAATTTATTTATATATTAAATATTTATTTGTAAATTTTCTTGAAAACAAAATTTAGGAAGTAATAGTCGTATTTATATTTATTTTTTCAATAATTTCGTGACTAATATTTGAATAAAAAAAAAAATTATTAATTGTTTCTGCAAAGGGTTTATAAAAAAAAAAATTCAGCAAGATTAATTAATTGTTATAAAATAAAATATTTAAATTTTGAAATTAATTCAAAAAAAACTTTACGAACAATAAATAAAAAAGAATTTTCTAGATTGTCATATATTCAAAAAAAAATTCTTGACTCAGAGACCACTAATAGACTGAGGAGGAGAACGTCTCGGTGTCGTGTACTGCGAGTAAAAGGTATAGGTTTTAAAGCTTTTATCCCTTATGATGTATACATATATTTTAATTTTATAAAATATTATAAATCTAAATTTAAAGTTGCTTTTGGAAATAAAGGAACTAAAAATCGAATCCCTGTTATTAAAAAGTATTTTAAATAAAATTTTTATTTTTTATTAAGTAATTTAAGTAATTATTACAAAAATTTTATACATATATGAAACAACTTTTTGTAAAAAATATTTTAAATTTTTTAGAATTAGATGATCTTCTTACAGAAATCGCATTTTTACTAAAAATAAAAACAATTTCGAGTATAAAAAAAATATTATTATTTGGAGTTTTTTATAAAAAAATCAAAATGCTCAAAAAATTTTGAATTCTCTCAGGTATACTCCAGCTGTAGGCATGCTCTTAATGTACTGCACAGTAATGACCGCACAATCAAAAATGAACTATCATTGTCGCCCCAACATATCAAGTCGCGTGCTGCCTACGGATGTCTGTACTTCTTACTGCAACAGATACCAATGTAGACAGACCCGCTTCAACCTCCACCAAGACTGAAGCGTATGGAATACCGGGCGACGCATTCACATGGTGCACAATACTCATCGAAGCTTAGTGGGCTAACCTTGCGCGCGCTTCAAGTGCCATTTGCTCCCAGCTCGCGTAATACAGATTGGTGCCACAGACCGTAAGCGCTGTGGTGACGCCCGTGCCAAAGCCAATCCATAGTCCTTCAATCCCAACGCCATAATAAAACGAGAGCAGGGCTCCCAGCGGGATACCAATGCCATAGAAAGCAACAGCATTAGTCTTGGCAGCCATATTTTGCCACCCGGCGCCTTTGTAAATTCCCTGAATCGCGCAATTCAGTGAATCGATAACTTCGTACGGCATCAGCACTAAAATCGCATTCGACGCACGCTCGACAGCCACGGGGTCATTGATCACAATGAGCGGGATCTGGTGGCGCAAGACATACAGCAGCCCCGCAAAGAAACACGAGAGCACAAAGACTGTGGCAAGCGTGATGTAGCTAATCATTTTTGCTTTCTTGGGGCAATTCGCACCGAGACAATTACCCACACGGATGTTACTGGAGACTGAGATGCCCATGAACACCATAAAAATCATTGAAGCAACGTTCATAAGCACCGCGTGCGTACTAACAGCCACGACACCATCAGGTAAATTGCCTGCCATGACAGCCAACAGCTCGTACGCCCACCATTCCAATACCATCATCGCTAGTCCTGGCACTCCAAGTCGCAAAAACAGCGGCACGAGTGCTTTTGCTTTTTGCAGCTGCCATCCACTCCACCAGCGCGTGTGATTGCCACTTATGATAAAGTAAGGCACGAGACAGAGAGGTAAGACCATGTAACCCAGTGTTCTCGACAGAGCTGCTCCATGAAAGCCCAACGGCGTCCAGTACGTCAACATGTAGCCGCCAAACACGTTAATAAACGTCCCTGCTAGTGCAAACAACACCATTGGTTGCACGATATTCTGCGCTTGTAACACCTTCCTCGCAATCTCATACAAAAAGAGAAATGGGACTCCGAAAACCGTCACACGTGAAAATTCACCGGCAAGTCTCGCCACTTCGGGATCTTGACCCGACCACTTCAGGAACACTTCTGCGTGCCAATTGAGCATAAACACGGGCACTAAACACGCTCCAATCACGAGCAATGCTGCTTGAAAGTAGAGTCCCAATTTATCCAGCTTCCCGGCTCCATAAGCTTGGGAACAAAGTGTATCCAAAGCTGAAGTGAGCCCAAACCCAATGGACAGCGACGAGACATTCGTAAACATCGTGGATAGGGTTGCAGCTGCGACAAACCGTTTCGTGTCGGGCGAATCCATGTGGCCCACAAGAATAATCCCCACGACCCCGGGGAGGTACTCGAGGGTATAGGTTACGACCACGGGGTACGCGAGCGCCATGGACAGCCAGAACTCGTCCAGAATCACTGGCTCTGCTTCGTCTCCGTCTTGAAAAAGCGACAGCGACGACGAATAGAGCGAATCGCGCAGAAGAGACACGGCACTGGCGTCATCATCCTGATCGTCGTCATCACGGAGTTTACTTCCGTCCAAAGACGTGGCAGACGGGGAGCGACAAGTAGCAGCAACAAAACTTGATCCGCGGGTGATGGTAGCAAGAGTCAAGTCCGAAATGACCACGTCACATCCGTCCTCCTCCTCATCTTCATTGACATGATTGTGGTTGGTGGTAGGAAGGTCGATCTCGTGGTTTGTATCACAATAAGTATGGTTGCGGTTTTTAGTGGTGTCAGAGTGCAGTAAGGACAAATGTTCACTATTATTGTCCGTCATGAAAGAAGCCAGAGAGAGAATGAAAGTGGGAGAGAGAGAGAGAGAGTGGTCAAAGCACTGGAGATGAGACGTTTGAAGCGAAAGAGCGAATGTTGCGACCGTGTGGAGTTTGTGGGTGGTTACGGTTTTGGCAGGACATGCGATCGTGTGGTTCACATCAGGCGAAAGAGACGTCGTTAGGTACGTGTGACGACAAAAGTGGCGACGCACGCGACACGGAACTCGGTCGAAATCAACGACCTCATGGGTAAACCCCTATACAATGATATACACAAATATCATTGTGTAGGGGTTTACGGGCGTGCTGTAAAATCTTACTACTATTCGGCGCCATTTGCCTCAGAGGAGCCGAACAAAACGACTCAGAAGTCAATTTGAAGTCACACTGTCAGTCTAAGACAGCAAGACAACTCTTCCATCACCTCAATGCCACTAGCAAGTGTAGTCGTGAGGGATGAAGCAGTATTACTCACAGTACCTCTCTCCTCCAGCTGTGACTTTGATATGCTTTGGGCCTGACACTTACATGACGCGCACACCTTTGCCATAAGCAAGCCTTCGATCTAACGTCCAGGCGTATCTCTAGCAGTAGAGCCGCTGCTTGATTATTACTAGTTGGCAAGAAGTTCCTGTTTCTCATTGCTATTCGCACGTACAAATACTTTGCTCTTGGGCTGACGGGAGCACTTTAATATTCTCAATCTATAACGCTTGATAGGTGGGATCAGGCGACGGCAGGCTACACGTGATGCTTCTACTTGCACGTCCGGGTGTGCATCACAGTCTGCTATTATGTCCTGGAGAACCTTGAGCTCGTCGTTGTCGAAGCTGCTGGATAATAGATGAAAGCACGTGCGCTCTTCACGGACTGCGTCACTTGATCAAGGCAAGCGACTTTATTTTTCGGTTTGATGGCGTGACGAGACACGCTCGATAGTGTTCGTGATTACGAAAGAATGCTCTGTAGAGTCGTTTGTGAACCAAGACTGTACCTGTTGCAGCGAGCCATAGACATGCAGGCAGTTAGTCGCACGACGTGACGGACTTGGTTATGATCAACTCAACTGCTTCAGACGGTCTGTAACTGCATAGGTTATCATGCTGAACCTCCTCAATGTCCGTCGACATCTATGTCGATATAAAAGCACGACTTCTACAAGCTCATGGGACTTGCATGGTCTGGATGAGACTGCGTGGTGAAATTGAAGCCGTCGATGTTTTCCAGATCAACATCTCCGATGAAATCTGCCAGTACAAGCACGTACGTCCATACAAGAGTAATCGCGTAGTGTTGCATCGCTGCGGTAATAGAATCAATGCAAGCACAATTATTACATGCGGGAAAGCTCGATACCACGTCCTCGATCGGTCTGCTATGATCCAACCCTGTTTCCATCCACGATCTGTACCAAAAGTTCCCTGGAACACATCGATGAACCTACGCCAAGTCCATGACTTGTCGATTCCGTCAGATAAAAGCCCAATCCATGCAGGCTCTACTCGACCCGAGCGATCTGATGGAACAGACGAGCGACTCTGAATTTTAGATCGACAAGGCGGGGAAGAAGGTGAAGCGCAGTCGTCCACCTTCTGGAAGTCAGTCAAATGTACATCGCACACGGAAATCACCACGTGTAAACCTTCCTGGGATAATACGGTCGAATGCTTGAGAGGCTGACATCCATGTTGTCAAGTACATGTGTTCATCAACGTGAAGACATCAACTCGGCGGCGCATCATGCACGATACAGACTGGGCTGCTTGCTCGTCGTGCGCAATTGCAGTGCTAAGGTAGTGCACTGTTGTAAATCGCTCTTCCATTTCGATCGGCGACGACGTCCGTGCCCACTCTACAATAGCTCAAGCAAATGATAGATCTCCAAATCAGCGGAAAGGCTGAAACGAATGGGACTGTTTGTTGGTTTCGTTCGTGTGCGATGACAAGGATGGTCGTCTCCTGAAGATTTGCAGTTCAATCATCATAGCGCAGATGCTTCCACAGTTATCGATCCTGGTAGATTCCGTCAGAGATGCACCTGGGTAATCCTCACTCATGAGATCTCGACACCACAATACAATCGACTTGACCTGGAACATATTTCAAACGAAGCAGCAGCAGCAGTACAGCTGGAGGCGTTGTGACGACACGATCGCGTAATGTAGAGCGGTCTCGAAAGACGATGCTGTTGTTGAACGAGTTTTTGCTCAACCTGCACCACATTATCTCAAACGGGCGGAATGTAGCTGACGTCTCGATCGAACGGACAATCCACACTCAGCCGCAGCCATACATCGATATCAAGGTCGTCTCCCATTGTCGCCTCCGTGTATCTTCCGCTAGTTCGTTCATTGACTTTCTTCAACAAAAGCTCGTGATTTGCTCGACGTCGTGGAACTGCTTCCCCTTTGCAGCACACGCTTCGTAGTGACACTTGACCCTTGGCCTGGACTAAACACAGTTCATTGTTATCCAACTTCTCATCGTCGTGATGCTCCACGGTCATCGTAATGTAGTCAGTCGTGCTACGTGCGACAACAGGTGCAGTACAATATGCACCGCTTTGTTCCGTTCCGTAGAAGGAGCTGTCGTTTCATCACGAAGTCTCGATGGCAACAGGTTGTGATGTCTTATGCTGCGCTCTTACCAGTCTCCTGTGTCACATCTCGTTCCCCAGTCACCTCCATGTTGAGGAGACTCAATTGAATAGCAGGCGCAATCGTGTCAAGTTCCCAACGCATAATCGACGTGACCACATCGGCTGCATTGCGATGCGCATCGAACGTGGAGCCGTAGTTAGTTGTACCAGACCATCGTACGTGCACGTACTTGTCTTCGCCAGTGACGCAGTCGTACACTTGCAGCAGTTCAATGATTAGTGCTAGTTCCGCCCACACTAATGGAGCTGACGGCTCGATCCCAGCCCGTTCGGGGAGGAGCTTGGCCCCCGAGTTGGCTGCTGGATTAAGACTCTGCGTCCCAATGACGTAACGAGTAGCTCGCAGACGCGGGTTGAACTCGACTGTTGTCTCGCCACTTGACAGCAGCGAAGCAGAGTCAGGTAAACGCAGCACTTTTTCCGTCATCTTTGTCCGGTATCGCAGCAACGTGGTTCGAAACACTGTCTTTTCGTCCGGGGACCGAACATCGCGACCGAGCACGTACGCATTTGTATTCACTTCCTGGAGCATATCCAGCCGCTGGACGTCGTATTTGAATCGTCGAGCACCTTCGAGGTGCATTCCATCGGCCCAGGTTTGCTGCATGATCTCCAAGACGGACAGACTGGTTGTAAACCGTTTCGTGAAGACAAACGCCACCTCACTGCCTCGAATGCGACGTCGCGAGTCCCATCCAAAGACTTCTGAATGGTCAACGAATTGCACGCGATCGTCACGTACTTGTTCGCCAGCAGCACCTTCAACATGTACAGTTGCTGAGCTCCAAGGACTCGTCAGTAGCTCGTCCTGCACTTGTTTGATCGATTGTGCGTTCTGAAGAGCGACGTTCTTCACGTCTCGTTCACTGAGCATGTGATGTCCGAACACGGACTCAGCCTCTTGGTCTTTCAGGATGTCCACCTCAACTACAAACGGAGAGAACGACTTCGTTTTCGATGCAGTGCAAGCCTCCAGCATCACACTTGTCTCGACCACCCGTCGGATGTCAAGCTCCCAGGATGCCTGGGAGTGAATCGACGCTTTCAAGTACAGATTTTACGCCCCTACGCGTTTCAACAGCTCAACAGCTTTGGCATATCTTGTAGTTTTGTTGCATGCGTCTTTTGACATCGGGGATGCCACCGCACGCAGTTGAAGGGCGTGATACTGCTGTTCCAAGTCCGTGACTACCTTCCGTAGCCATTGCAATAGATCCCGTTGACGCTGCCGCGAGCGTTGCATGGATTCCCGGTTCCTCTGGCGTCGAAGTGCTAAAACCGACCGAGTGTCGGAATCTGTTTGGAGGAGATCCATCACAGCATGCGGATTGGTTTGATCGAGCCACATGGAGTTCATCCTTGATGCCATGACACTCGATCAAGAGGAGATAGAAGAAGAAGAAGGAGACAGAAGTGCAAGGCGTTGATGTGTGCAAGTGTCTATGTCTGTGTCTGTGTGATTTTTCCTCCTCCTGATCGAACGGGTACTGCGAGAACTGTCTATCGGATATGTATTTTATTATGGGGAAACCGTAAATGTAGGTCTGCATGACGACTACCTGCTTGACTATGGGTGGGTGGACGTTTATGGACACTTATAGTGACACGATGTTGTTCGACCCTTCCACTTGTCGTCGTTTTTGCTGCTGCTGTTTTGTCTGACGCTGAGCCAAGCCTTCGATCAGAGCGTATCATACATGATGCGTGAACTGGGGATAGGTAGGGGCGTGACCCCATCCCATGACAACGATCTTGCCGAGACCACTTGTGTCCTCGAGGATTGTCGCCAAGTCAGAAGAGCGAGAGTTTGTATAGCAGACCGCACCAAGATGAAGAGAAGCGATGATGCGGTCGGTTGCTATGTGCATTGAAAGAGACGTCAAGGTCGATGACAAGTTAGTCACGTTTCCGGCATTTTTTTGCCTCAAGATTCCGCGTAAATTAATTGTAATGAGGCGACGGGACTCTCCAAGTCTGTCCAAGTGTCCAAGTGTCCACCATAGGTAGGTAGCGACAGTAGACAAAAGAGGCGGCACTCGACCGGTGACTTCGACGCCCTTCTTTTCGTCCGTGTTTTGTTCAGAAAGTATGATCCAGCAAAGTCTCACCTGTTGTTGAGTGCGTTTATTTCTCACGGAGCGCGCCAGAAAAGCAGTTGTTGACTCATGTTCTTACCGTTCAAGAACCTCTCGACGCGGCAAAGGTCCGTCTTTCGTGTCGTCTTCGAGTTGGAAACCGTTTTTTTCACTTGCACTGCTAGATTAGTATTGTCAATGTCGGTCGGGAATCCCGTAGTATCCTGTGTTTACATCGGTATCTAGTGCTGGGTATGCCGTGCTGTGTGTAGCGCTGGGTCTTGGGATCAAGTATTTCGATGACCAGATGCCCCAGCGGGACGCGACCGCATTGAAGAGCGACGCTCGGGTGCGTTGAGACTTACATGTAATAATCAGTCAGTCGGACATCTTCACCTGCTTTATGGTTAACTATCGGGTCTTTGCGAACAGGCTTGGAGCGACTTGGACGAGCAAGCCGAAGCTAAACCCAAACGCCCCGACAATTCACGCAAGTTGATGGGAAAACGCTCGTGAAGCTGCAGTCGACAGCAGTCACTTGAGCAACGTCGAGCTTTGCAGATGGAGCAAATACGGAGCTGATCACGTCTGCTTGGTTATCGACTTGCTTTGACGATTAGGGGGAGGAGTTCTACCATCGTAAACCGCTTGGCTGACGAGAATCGCATCGTGCAAATGACTGGCCCTCAGACAACGTTTTTGCTCGCTTTTTTCTCCCCTCGATCTCTCGTCCTGACTTGATCTCGTGCACCGGACTTCAAGCAGATCGCCAAGGGGTGCGATTCTGCCTACAGGTATCACATCAAATCACGGGAAAAAGTGCGTGTTCGATGCCAGCTTTTGGCTCTGCAAAACACTTTTATAGCTTCAGAAACCAATTAATGCACACACGGAGCCAACAAGGTCTGTTAAGTGGACATGTTGTGTAAAAAGATAGAGTATTGGTCAGCACGATAGCTACCCGTGCTCAGAACCATACTGAGCATCCAGTCCACTTGCGTTATGCGTAGTCGCTACCTAGTGGCCAGCCAAATAAATGCCTTCGACCATATGCTGCAGCGCAAGTCCCAGGTTTGCGTATCCGCTGTGTAGTCGGTGGAATCACCTCATCAAAACGCGAGTGATCGCTTGCACCATACTGCGCGCTGATTTCCAAAACAGCGTCGTAAATGCTGCAGAGTCAAATCAATACAGCGACGTTAGCAGAATCATCTACACCAACGATAACTACGTCGTGAGGCGCCACGTTGCTGGCTCTTAATTTGCTCACCTCTTAGGCTCGACGGACCGCTAGGGAACGCCGACAGCGCAAACGATCCCAACGTCATTAACTGCAAGACTGAGCTCAGCACGACGAACACGTAGTCGCCCAATATCAAACAACTGTACAGCGTGCACCCTATAGCACCACCACCAAACATAACCACAATAGCGTCAGTCTCGTAACATCATCATCACCACCTCTTTAACCTTCTTCTTAAACGTCTGCTTCTTTTTTACCAAGTGTCACAAAGTACGCGCTAGTCAGCAGCAGTCGATTCGGCTGCACGAGTTCGACAGCATATGCCGCTGGGCCTTTCAGCATTGCAACAGCACTCATACAGCACATGCTGCCCAGGGTAAAACTCAGCGCAAACTTGGATGGACGAATCATGATCTACAACAGAAAAAACAAGTTAATCACTTGGCTCCAACATGAAAGAAGCAGCAGACCAAGAACAACGTTTCTTCACGTCTGCAGAGAAGAATAACCAAAGCAATCAGTCATCTTACCAATGGTAGAAAGATCGAAGCCATGCCGAAAAACAGCATCCCGAGTAGAGTCATGCCTACAAAATACTTGAACCTCGCATTCCTGTGCACGCCAAATTGACACAAAAAAAGCAGTTTTCAGGTCACTTTTTTCGATCGTCACTCCGATTGCCTGATTGTAGGTGGTACACACCAACTCATACTCGGGACCGCGAGCCCGCTTCGATTACTTGCGCTCTTTCTTCCAAACCACGATTTGGCGACACTGGCGTCATCGACTGCCCCGTCTCTTTGCCCGCTTTCTAGCGTGTCCGTCGCGTCTTTTGGCGCAGTGACCGCGTCTTTTGTAAACTCACGAGCCGAGTCCCACGCCTTTTGGAACACCGAGTTGACGCTACCAGTGCTTTCGCTACCAGCAGTAGGCGCGGTAGATACCGCAGACGAGCGCATCAGGCTATGCAGGGCGTCTTGGGCGCCCTGCAACTTACTCGTCGCAGGTTTCTTGCCACCCCATTGCTCCCACGCGCTCATGACGACAAGTCAAAGAGTGATGGTCCTGTCGTCGATGGGCAGAACTGCTCGAGATTGTGGACCACATGTACAAAGTCGTGACAAGAGACAGGCGCATTTCTAACGGATAGATTACAAAGACAAACGAATCACGGCCGACGACATGAAGGTTACAGTACCCTCGGCTCTCCCTCATCTGCGTAACGTACCCACGACCGCCGCACCTTCAACACGCAACACGTGATGAAAAAAGCCGTTCATTTACCACCGGCAGCAGCAAGAACAAAGCACTTTTAAATACAATGCGACACAAAAGTCAAACCTTTTTTTCCTGTCGTCGTAGTCAACACATCATCATCATCATCACTATCATCATCATCATCATCATCCCCATCAACCTCCTCAGCCCCATCTACGAAGGTATGCGCGCCCGAGAGCAACGACGTCCACTGGCGTCTCCCGTCGAGCTGCAAGTGGAGTTCCGCATGGCCGTAGCAATGGCGTCCGAGCGCGGCAACGAGTTGGACGCAATGTACGACTCGGCGAGCGTCGTCTCCTCGTCGCAGCTGAACGCGTAGCCGGTTGGGCGGCGGCCGGGCGTCGGTCGGAGCATCGTGGACGGCGCGCGGTCCCACGTTGTCTCCTCGGAAATCGTCTCACTGAACACGCTGGCTGAATAGTGTTCCGTACCGCCGGACTTGGCGGGGCCACTGCGTGTCCCGGTCAGGTTTGCCACGTCCTGGGGCAGCTGCTGCTCGTGCTCTGCCGTCTGGACAGCTCTCGGAGGGTGCTGGCTCTTGACAATGTCGGCGTCCGTGTGGCCAAAGTCGCTCAAGTAACTGGTCGTGTGGACGTCGTCCAACGACATGGACAGCGTCTGCTCCTCAATGTGGTCGATCGTCAGGCGGCGTTCCGACTTGTGACGGGAAGAACCGCCCATCGACTCCTGAAGAAGCTGGGCAAGATCCGGGTGGAACGTCCGCTGGAACAGGTTGTACGAAATGTGGCGTCCGAGTGCAAGCGCACAACCCATGACCAGCACCAGGAGGTAGCCCCACGTCCTAGCAGTAGGGGCGAATGCACCAAACTCGTCGTAACCGACCTTGAACGTTGCAATGTACGGCGTCTGGGTACCGATAGACGCGAGGATGAACCATGCCATGACGCTGCCGAACCACAACGAGAACGACAGCACAGTCCATCGATCTGCAATCATCCAGATCTTGATGTTCACAATCAAAACTGTCAGCGAGAAGGCAACCATGCCGAATTCCACTCGAGATTCGCTGCCTGCCGCCTTATCGGATGCATTGAAGCCAAACGTCATCACGACAAAGATAATGAGCGATTCGAAGAAAGCAGCAGCTATCCAGCGAAAAAACGTGTACATGTTGAAGAAAAAGCGATCCGGGCCACGACGGTACAAGTCCGGGTAATCGATGCTAAATGGTGCTGGCAAGTCTTTGTCGAGCACACCCACTACAACGATCGGCAGACCCGTGAAAACAATATTGTACAGCTGGACACCGATTTCCCAGTACAGCTTGGAGCCAGAAGCACCTGAGAGGTAGCCGTACCAGTACTGCACCATAACAAGTGTAATGTTCTTGTAGAACATGTACAGAACCAACTTGGAAATGCGGATATAATTCCAACGGCCGTGGACCAGCAACAACCGCTCGAGATATCGGAACTGAGCGATGGCGTAATCACTCGAGTTTACCGCCTGCATACCTTCTTGTCCTGATATGCCCACCCCGACATGAGCGGCCTGAATCATGGCAACGTCATTCGCTCCATCTCCGATTGCCAATGTCCGCACAGTTGTGATATTATCCCGAACAAGTTTCACCATCTCTGCCTTTTGAGCAGGAGACACGCGATTACAAATCACAGCACGGCACAACTTGGCAAACGATAGCAGGTGCGGTGCAGATTCCGGACTCAAAGCCATTTCCAATGCCTCGCCGTCAATGACCAGCGAGACTTCCTTCTCCGTACCACTTGCCATACCTTTTGAATTGTCCAAGAACTCAGCAGTGGCTGCGCTCAATTTCGCGCGAAGCGATGCTTCATCCGGACATGTGGTGGCATTAATAATGACTTGCTGGATCGAATTGTCAAGCAACGAGCACGCGTACGAAATGTTAATCGCAGTCTCTTCCTTGTCGCCCGTAAGCATCCACACCTTGATCCCTGCTCGTGTCAAATTTGCTAAGCACTGTGGAACGCCGTCCTGCAGTTTGTCTTCGATTGCCGTTGCTCCAATGAGCTCCAGTCCCTCCTCAATTTCTTCCATCAAATCATCAATCGCATTCTGCTCGCCATCTTTGCGTCGATCAAGTTCAGCCACATTGCCCTGTGCGTCATCAAACCGGGTCTTCCACTGTTGGAACCAGTGCTCATCAAGCGTTTTCACTGCTAGCGCCAGAGTACGCAATCCATCATCAGCGTATTTCTCCATATGATCACGTGTGATGTTCTTGAGCTTCAGCATCGCGGGGTCCGATCTCAGGCGCTGGTATATCATCATGTCAGCTCCTTTTGTGTAAAGCAGTAGCTCCCCGGTTGGTTTGCGCACTACGACAGACATTCGCTTTCGTGTACTAGTAAACTCGAGCACGTCGAGCACGTTGTAGGTCACACGCTTTCCTAGCACATCCACCACGGCCGTCCCAACACTACGGCTCTCAAACTTGAATCCTGCAAAAGCTGCACCAGCCACAAGAGCTTGCTCGTCAGGAGATGACGCCGAGAAACGAATCTCACCAGACTCCAGCTTTTCAGGAATCACCGTGTGACAGACGGCAAGGTGCTCAAAGAATTGCAGTATCTTTCCCTTCTGCTCCTCACCAGCACTGCCCTCCATCTCATCGAAAAGTGACTTGTCGACAAAGTTCACAAACGGGGTCTTCTCAATACTCGGATCTAGCCGAGGCTCCGTCGGAATTGGTTTCCCGGCACGAGTCAGTGCAGCGCGTCCTATTTCCGTGAGACCAGACCCATACGAGGTGCCGTTGATCGAACATCGACGAAACTCCATGACGTTGCACGTTAACGTGCCCGTCTTATCACTGAAAACGTACGAGATCTGACCCAGCTCTTCGTTCAACTCCATCGTTCGCACAATAGCAGGCGTGTCCGACTCTGCATGGTACATCTCGAGGTCCCACGCCATGAATCGAGACTGCAAGAACTTGACGGTCGTCATGGACACGTAGAGCGAGATCGGAATGACCTGGTAGAGCAGCAAGAAGTAGTAAAACATCATCTGGATGAACGCGACAAAGCGCGAGCGGTTCTTCTCAGCTTCTGATAGCTGGATATACCACGTGTTGCGCACGATCTCGTACTGCCACGTAACGTAGCACGATGCCGCGACAGCGCACGCTACAAACAGACCTAAGCAGAGGAACACAATCATGCGATTGATACTGAGCATAAGGTCACTCCACTTGGACGGCGCTGCACTCGCGCTCTGCATGATCTTGGTATCGTTTCCTGTATTCAGCACGAGTCCAAAGACCCAGTCCGTGTTACGAAGGTTACACCCTCGCAGCAGCACGTTCTTCACCGAGAGCGGGACGACTTCAACCCCACAGCCGTCACCAACTGTCACTTCAACTTTGCCTGCAAATTTGTTAATGTGCGGGTTCGGCCGCTCGCACTTGACCACGCCACGCAAGTGCGCCAGCTCCGCAGCATTCGACAAGGAGCCCATGGTCGCTGCGACTGCTTGACGCAGCTTCAAGTTCGTCTCACCGTCGAGACTCTTGGTCTCCACATAGCAAATGCCGCTCGGGGGTTCCCCCACCGGCTCGGCCACTGCCAGCACCAGCACGTCTGCTGGAATGACTTCCCGGTTGTAGATCTGGAGGAAATCCCCGACTCGAATGTCGGCCCATTTCCGGTCCAGCACGCGTCCATCCTGGATCACGTGGCACGTGGCGGCATTGGCTTCTTTGTCCGACGCATGGCGCCGCAGATCCTCCATCACGGCAAACACGGCGTCAATGGAAATGACAAAGAACAGCACCGGGGCGTTCGTCGGGTACCCGTACGTGTTGCTGATGCTGGGGATGCTCTGGAGCACGCAGACCATGAGGAAGAAGAAGTTGGCGACTTTGGTGAAGCTTTCCTTGAGGAACTTGGGCAGGAACGTCACGAGCGAGTACTTGGACGTGACCACGACGTTGGAGCAGCGGTCAAAGGGCGCGTTGCCGGGGGCGTAGTTGAAGTACACTTCGCGCAACGCGGACGTGGCGTCGGTCGTGGAGGTGGGCGAGGCGGAGGTCGTACGAAGGTTGTCCTTCGCGATGCCGTCGCTTTTGCGCAGGGGACGAGTCGGGCCCGTTGAAACCGAGGACGACGAGTGGTGCGATAAGTACGCGCGACCTTTCGTTTCCACGACCTTCGCGTCACCGTCACCAACGGCCCGTCTGCCCCTGCTCTTGCGCACTTGGTGCGGCGACTGCAGCAACGCGGGACTCCCGAGCGTGTTGTACCCACTCGTGCTCGAGTTCAACGCGCTGTCGGACGCAGCAGCGACAGCGACAGCGACGGGCGTGACGTCAGCGCTCAGCGTCTCGTGGTCGTCGCGGAACAGGCGCGACGTGCTGCGCTTGGCCGCCATGACAGAATGACGAGGCGCGGGGCTAATAATAGGACTGACTACTACTGCTACTAAACGACCTCACGGACGAACTGGCGCACTGACTGACTAACTGACGGACGGACGGACGGACTGTCTGACGGTCGGTTCAGTGCGGCCGCTCTTTTTCTTGTCGTCGAAAGGTGTGTGTGGAAAGGACGGGCGCATCGACTGTGTTGTCGTTCGCTCGTAGGTGGTGTCGAGGGGTAGGGATAGCGACAGTGTATGGAGAAATGTATGGACGGAGTCGAAGCGGTACGTGGGACGAGCGGTCGCGCAAAAGGGAGACGCGCTCACTGGTGCAAGAAAAAGACACGACAGCGAACTGGCTCGTAGCGCCGGCCAGAACAAGGCCATGCGATGCTGCGATTGGACGCTAAAACGTCGTGGTTTCCTTTATTTTTAGCGGCTTGAAGTGCGCGAAACAGCTGGTTCTGAAAGCGAGGCATTGATGTTGACGTTGCTGTTGTTGATGGGTTTTATTGTGGGCACATTGTGTCACGACAGTCTTGTGCGAAGGTGTGTGATGTGCGACGCGATGACTTGAGATCAACTGTGCGTGGAGTCGTGTTGCTCCAACGATCGATTGACGTGGGATGTTGCTTGTAGAGGCACCCGTCAAGTAATCATCGCAGATGTAGGGATGTTTTTGACCATAGTCGCGTGACAGAAAGTCACAAGTATCATGAACTTGTCCTCTATTTGTTTTGTGTTTCGACCAGTTGCGACCGACTTTAAAGGTCTCGCCACGAGCGACTCGATTAATCCGTACGTAAAGGTGGCATTGCTTCCTTCTGTGATGTACGCATCAGTGGGAAGCCTTCCATGAACATACATGCATACATATATATTTGCATACATACACACAAACATACATGCATACATACAAACATACAAACAAACATACATACATGCAAACATACCTATAAATGTATGGCCAGGGAGACGATGATGATGAAGATGATGATGAAGATGATGCATTCTTGAGCGACGGAGACAGTCTCAACACTGAGACTTCAATTGAGGACGTGGGTGTTTGAAGAACAACGGACTGTTGGACTGCGAGGTAGGACAATAGTGACTTGGTCACGTCATCCGCAGGAGTGCTTTGGACACGGTGAGGGACCAAGTGTTGTGCTGCGGTATTGTCTGCTGCTTCACATACACTACAAATCTGTCGCGACGATCAGTTTTTTCGGTGCCAATTCAGCTGTCTAAGCAATGCCGTCAATTGTCGGATCGTCAAGTTGTTGGAATCAAAGCCGCGTCTCGCCAACTAAAGAAGGTCAGCGTGTCACAACAGACCGTTAACATGTTCAAAGACGAGGTCGGTAGGTAACTGCGCTAGTTATCGAGCTGCGCCAGGACCGTGCTGTCAAAAGCAGTTGACTGTCGATGATTGTACCTACTCTTCTTGCCGTCTGTAATTGGTAGTCGCTCGACATCTGAGCGTCATGCCCTTCTTCTTTGTCCACCTTCGGTGGGTAAAAGTCGCAGGGTTCAGAAAACTTTTGTAGTTGCATCTAGCTCTCACTCTCATGCCAGCTATTTGGTCGCATCGTGCTACCATTTCTCATACTGCTGATAAGAAGTAAGTTGATGTCGGCAATGCCAGCACATAGCCTCCTTGCTTGCCTGACATTCATCCATCGCTACGACGAATCAGTTTTTATTGACGCTCAGTCGGGTTAATCCGAGTTGTGCGTCAGTGCTGATACCATAGCGTAGCTACCGAAAGTATGAAACGAAGCTGGTGCATTTCGTGGCCTTTGTCGCATCAAAAAACTTACTAACAGCAGCAGCTGGTTCGATGGAGCTTAATCTTGCTGGTTCAACCAGCTTGGCGACCTGCTTCTGTTACGCGAGCCATCAGATATGATGTCACCTATCGCAAAGGACAAACGGATCGGCTCAGGAAGCGAGTGGTGTTCACACTAGATAGAAACACTGTGCACCTCCGACAGTGAGGTAGATTTGTTCAGCCGTTAATCTTCGCTGCATATTTCCAAGCATGGTACGACGAGGCTGCGACGTAGTTTGCAAAACGTCTGCTATGTGAACTCGGTTAGCTGGAGTATTGCAAAGCCGATGAATTATTCTTCAACCGTGTTCGATGGCCAGTTCCGAATCATCATCGAGTTGAATGATTGCAGCTTCTTGCTGTAAGCAAAAGATGTTCCTCGGTTTCCTCGAAATCTTTTCTCAGCTCTTGGAGCTTCTCGAACTGACCGTAAGACGTAGAGACCGTAGTCGTGGATTGACCACGCAAAACATTTGCGAAGTACGATCGTTGGTAGTCAATCGCAAGTCGATCCATTCCCTAGGCGCTTTCTGTCGAGTATACATGTGCAGACATGAACAGTCCGCAGAACGTATTGACACCGCCTTACGTTACGCTGACGAATTCACCAATGATCTGGATCCGTAATGGGTTGCTGATTTCTCTGGCGTCCTTGCTGTTGCTCACTAGAGATCTCACATTTCTTGTGTGAGATCTAAAGCTGAGTTGATACAATGCACATGCAATTTGAACCCGAATATCCGAGTTTACAGCTTGTTAATCATACAGCATCAACGTTGGCATCCCAAAAAAGCAGTCTAACGAGTAGAACGAATCAGCAACTCCAGACATTTTGTGAACTATCTTACCCGTGCAACAAGTGATAGTAGCCGTTCATTTCCTCAGCCCAAATCCACGAAAACTCTGATGCTTGTTCACCAAACTCGAATTGACTTGTGTTTGCGTACCCAACGCGTAGAACCTGATCCATCGTCGAATTTGCACGGATACTACACACACATGTCGTGAATGTGAAGAAAAAGACCTCATTGGACCGCGTCGAGAAAACTTGTAGCGAACGCATTACTTCCTTTATCTTACCCGCTGGCGATCTTCATCTGCTTTGGCAGCAACATCAGTTGCTTTCGTGTTCTTATTCTTCGCAATTTCCAGTTGTTGATGGTCGTGATTACAAACCCTTTTTGTCGTCAGCAATGCACGCGCGATGTAGGACAGTATTCTGACATCATTTACCTCCTGCATGTCATAAGAGGACGATAATCTTGAAGAAGAACCGCCAGCTTCCTTAGACATCCGCAATTGTGGTCCTCGGCTTTTGCAATGATAGTGCTATCATATCTTTAGTGCTCATATTCCAAAAGCTCCACGACTGCGTCCGGCATTACCATTTCTTGCATCGTATCAGCAATAATGCGATCGGCATCAACACCATCATTAGGCTGTTGTTAACGTCCCTGATTTCGTACGAAGATGCCACCTCGACAGTCGCGTCTCGTCTTGCCCTTCGATACAGCAATAGTCTTGCTTCCACACCCAGGAAAACATACGACTCGACACGAGCCGAGCTGTAATAGATCTTCACACCTTTGGAACTGATGGTCACCAACTGTATCCACTCAGCACTTGACGTCTTTGGCTCTTCGTACCGCGGACAGCATAGAACAAATATATGACCATATTGCGTGTCAAAAACAGCCATTTGCACCGCAAAAAGCGCTACCCTCGCTTCCCTTAGCTAGTGCGGAAGAGCTGGAAATATCGAGAGGCCTTCGTTAACCCAACGCCTCGCATACTTGCCATTTCTTCTTCTGACGCAGGTTGCGCCTCGAGAACATCCTGTCAAGACAGATACGCAAATGTAAACCATGCGAACAAGTCAAGTCGTACCCCCACGATCGCATCATCTATTACCGACTTTTCGTACCCGCACGAGTCGGCGTGACATGGCCTCTCGCTTTGGAAGGTTTAATCTCTTCGATTCTGCGAGTATTTTCTGATACTGGTACTCAATAGCACCTTTGGCAATACCCTCATCCGTGTCATCGTCGATGCTTTTGATTCTGTGCTCGGTAGCGATCACTTCATGGTGCCAAGATTCGATGGCAGCTTCAAGCGGCACGCCACAATTGCAATTACGAATACATTGGGAAGCATCGAAGTGGAAATTGTAATGCGAGTATAACAACTCTTTGCGACACCCGTTGGTCATCTCGCAAAAGGCCGCCACCTCTTCCACCTCTCTTCGAGAACTTCCATTTGACATAGCACCTGATCCTGTGCCGTCAAAGTCCAGCCTGCCTGTTGTCAAAGCATCTGCTCGACTCTTGTCTGCTTCGGAATAGAGCAGAACACAAACCGCAGGCTTGCCGTCCCGACCACTTCGACCCTACATGACAAGTACGCAGTGAGTATTCTCACCAAAGACCACTGCAAGAATATGGCCCAGTATTGAACGCACAACTTGTTGCATGTATGCACTAAGGGATAACGGAATAGAGTGGTGTATCACAAACCGCACGTCCGAGCGATCGATCCCCATCTACGATAACGCACAACATTTCCAAACCGATCAGCTTGTAGTCCACCGTATCCGATACAAATCTCTACAGGATATATAACGCACCCCGAACGCGCTCGTAGCACAGATGACGGTCAATTGACCCATCATCCACTGCTTGCGTACAAACTCTCGACGCCTTTGTGGCAACGCACCATGATAAACACCCGCATGGCATCCGACGCGCACGAGAGCTAAGCACAAGTCTTCTGCTTCTTTTCGTGTCATGCAGTAGACAATAGTCGTTTCTTGTCCAACTCGAGTGGCTATCCACTGGGCAGCAGTAGGCTTCTTCCGTATAACCTCCAACCGCAAATTCTTGCGATCCGTGACTTGTTGGATCACCACCAACTGATTGTGAGGTGCTGCTTGGTCCGACACACCCTTCCTTTCAACAGTAGGAAGCACTGGGCGCAGCTGCAATTGAAACAACTCGGCCAGCCTCGCAATATCTTCGTCCGAAACGGATGCCGTTGCTAATGTCACCGGCACTTCGCTCAAGAACTTGGTCTTAAAGTGACTCAAGTGCAAGTACGACGGCCGAAATGTGTTTCCCCACTCGAGCACACAATGAGCTTCATCAAGCACAATCCGAGCTAATTGATGGTCCTTGTTTGCGGCACGAACCCATCTCCGCATCTCCTCGTTCATTTGTAAAAACTCGGGCGTCGTGTACACGAGTCTCTGCCTTGCTAGAAGCTGACTCAAAGGAGCCAATCGCTGGTTCCCAGAGCCTGAAACCTGACATGCTCGAACTCCTTTGCGTCTCAATGCTGCCACTTGGTCCTATTGCAAAATCACAACCAACAACAACAACAAACAGCAGGAACACACCCACATATATCAATGATACTAATGTGATAAACACACATCTTTGTAGACGTACCAGTGTATCCATAATATAACAATTCTTCACGTACGTTTATGAGAGCGAGAAGTGGCGAGACGACAAGAGTCGTTTGGCCAGTACCAGTCACTAGAGCAGGTGCCTGGAATGCCAAACTCTTGCCAGCTCCTGTCGGGAGATGCAAAAAGACCGAGTACCCTTTTGTAGCCATTGCAACCGCTGTCGACTGCGCTTCCGATACGTGAAAAGCTTCGGTAGCATTGACTTCCAGTAGCATGCGGTAGACAGAGTCCAGAACGTGGTCATAAGTGGAGAACCAGCGACTACAGGACGAATGCAGTAGCACTCGAGGCCAAATTCCAGCTATCATCAGGAGCTCTCTATAGACGCTCTTATTTGGGTACGTGAGGATGCGAATTAGGATTTGACTGGACGAGCTTTGAAAATACTACAAAATAAAAAAAATGAGCGAGCCAAGTCTGAAGACTCGATCCAGTATCGGTGGACTGGGGATCGATGAAGCATGTGACAATGCCGCGATTTGGATCATGAAAAAAGAGCTTTGTGGTATACAGTGCACGGTTAGATACAATTAGTGGGTACTAGCGCTTGGATTGCAATCGCCGAAAAAGTAGGTTTGCAACTTACCAGTTTTCCTTATAGCATCATCGATCAAGGAAAGATACTTATTAACATCTGCGAGGATGATAGGTAGCCTGTAAATTGATGAGCTTGGACGCAAATTACACTGCGTTATACTTACTCACCAATGTCGTAGACGGGTTGTTGATGATCATCATGATCCGGGATGAAGGTGCTGGGTGAATTGCTCCTGAACGTGACGTCAACAGTGAATCGACAAATTTGTCATATTCGTTGCGTTTTCATCATTTGGCCGCCAAGCCATTCCACCCGTGAAGATCTTGTAGAAGGCCGAAGAGACGAGCTCAGGGCTTGAGCTACGCCAAGCGGCCATTCATCTTTTCGCGAGAGAAGGCGAGCCGGTCTACGTATAGCTCGTACTTCTCTTTTGCAAGTTGCTCCTTCTCGGCACAAACTGTTTGCTCCAGTACAGCTAGCTGCTGCATCTTCAACTCGATTTGACGCAACTGATTCTCCACGAGTTGCTGTACCAAATCCTTCACGGGTCCATTTGCAATATCATCGGCAATCTGCTGTGCTCGCGTTGCCAAGAGCGCAACTGTAGTGGCACGGGCTGCCTCTTCCGTGACCGCAATCATTTCCTTCGAGATAGACGCTGCATCGTGCTTGCCCGGACCGACCGTCTCCGTAGTGGACTCAAGGGTCGGATTTGACAACGGTACATCCTCCATAGCCACATCGCTGAGCGCGGGCGTGTCCTCTGACTTGATGGTCGATCTGATTCCTGCTTCCTCTGCACTGCTGGCTACTGCCGCTGCTGCATCCTCAAGCGAAGACAATGAGCCATCACTTATCGTAACGGGCCCTGACGACGTCGGAGCGCTCTCTACCTTGACTTCAGCTGTACTAGCCGTTGCTTCGTGCTTCACCGAAGCCAACGATGCCTCACTCGGCAAAATGGCTATATCCGCTGGCATCGTGTGTAATCGCTTGATGGCACCTATCGCGGCATGAGCTGCAGCTTTCGCAACAATCGGGTCAACCTGCTCTACTAGAGAAACCAGATCAAGCACAGGCGCAGTCAAAGCTGCTCCGGCAGAAAAAGGTCGCATCGACTCCACCATATCGCCGACCCGTGTTCCTCGATCCAGCGCCACCGACGTGTCGAGCGTTGGTATCTCCAAAAAGTGCAACAAACACTCTTCAGCGGTCTTCGAGCCAACCTTGGAAGCCACGAAATTCCAATCACAGCTTTCCTCATCTTCTTCATATTCACGCACGCCCTTGGTTCGATTGGCCCTCGTGCTGCTATTCACAGCAGTCAACAGACGATCATTCTCTTCTTGCGTCCACGAAGCGGTTGCCGACAGATTTTTCGTCACTGTCGGCATCAGCACGAAATCCGAGACATCGTAGCCCTCGGGAAAAGCACCGCGAATGTAGCACTCTTCACAGATGCCACTTCCTGGTCGCAATGCAAACCCTCGTACCGTCATTTCTTGACCTTCTCCTGCTTTGCCACCAGTACCATTCATTCCGTGCGTTGCACTCGATGCGTTTCCAACCGCAGTACTCGTCGTCAACTTTTTCTTTGCTTCACTTGTGAGCTCAAAAAACAAATCGTCGGACTGCCTCGCGACGCCACAACCTTCGCACGCCAACGGGACGTCCACCCTTCGTCCACACTCTTTCTGACCAGCCACAAGCATGGCCACAGGACTTTGTTCATCCCTAGCAGTACTATTACTACCACCACTGCTACTATAGTACTGACCGGTACTGGTCGCACTCCCAACCGCTTGGAGCGCATAGTTTGAGTGAATAGCGGGCGGCATCGCGTGCGGCGGGACGTGAAAATTAATCAGTCCCCAGTGCGTAAGGAACTCGTGGACGCGGAGGATCGCACAGGCATCTCCCGCTAAATTCCGACGACAGGCCGTGGCCGTTAAGTACACGTCCGGCTGCTGGCGAGACGCGTGGACCATGTAATTGCGGTATTTGAGGTACAATTCCGCCGTCTTCGAGCTCTTGTGGGCACTGAAAAACTCGGGCAGCATCCGCTTCTCAATGGGATTAATCTTGTCCATGGAGAACCACGTGCTACAGCGTGGAACAGCGACAATAGGCGCTGAAGGGACTGGTCCAGTCATTTTAGATGGATCCTCTCGCCCGGATGGAGCTCCTAGAGGCAGCTGGATACGTATAGAGACGAGATAAGATGTATTAGAAACAGAAGGCGACGGCGGAGGAGATGAGAGCTATAGGAACGTAGTGGATGAAGTGGATGACGCGTGGGGAGCCGACGTCGAGGGCGCTGGGCGTGCCGTAGCTGCTAATGTTTTTGTTTGCAAGATGAGGTGTCGTGGGTGTGGACCACATACGGAGACGTGGCTGCACACGGTAATGTTTGAGCTCTAAAACCGGTAGGATGCGGGTTGACGACAGTGGTGGGTGCAAGTTATTATTTTTGGTGCCGATGAAAGGCAGAGGTTGAGTGTCCGACGGCTGAATGAACGACTGCGTCGTACAAAAACTCTACAACCAAAAAGCAGAAAAGGGATAGCTAATATTTTATGTCAAAGGTGGACTAGTGTCCGTGCTATTTGGAATGAGATGGAGTCAATCGCAAATCCAGCTCCAAATAAACGCAAGCATTGCAAAACCCGCACCAGTTCCAAAAAAGCACCCACCTCGTGACGGAATGAATCTGTACCACGCTATTTTCAATGTGACTGATCAATGTAAGTCTGCAGGTACCAAAAAAGAGTATTGACATAAAATAATAAACTTTAAAATCAAATCGCCCTGTCATTTGCGCGGTTAACGTCGATAAGCTATCAACGCATTCGTATGATTTTAATGGGCTTAATTTTACCGCAGTAAGGCATTGCTGATTATGGAAGTTGCATCTTCTGGAAAAATTGGTGTTGCAGCAACACGACTTGACTTGGTAGGAGGCATCGAGCGTAGAGATTTGAAAGTGAGCTTTTGGTGGGGTAATATACATGGCAGGACTTGTTCGCTGGAGTGACATCTAGCTACGGTTGCTAATGTAATTCATGTCCTGTTTTTATGCTTGACAACACCTGATTCAGGTGTCGGTGTGCATTTTACATTCGGCATCGAGATCTCTACTTCGATGTGATTGACTTTTAACTGCGAAAGTGTTACTGCTAATGATCTGCATGTAGCGGCGGAATAATGAGATTTCAACACCTATATCAAATCCTTCTCGTTTACGATGTAACTCTTGACTATCTCAGACTCAACAGGTGAAAGCTACAAGCGATTGCTCACTTTGATGCTGCAATTATGGTACACACTTAGAAACATGTCGTGGCCATACTTCCCCGACACTGGGAGATCACGGCGTCTTATCGTTCGCTGGAGCGACTGACATCTGATTGCTCTAGCCATCTAGAACAGTAGCCCTTGCTTGACAGAGGTACACGAGTCAATAGTAAGTGACGAAGATAAAATGCACGGACCCGAAATAATTGAGTGATAATGATACGAAGCTCATCGATAGGTGATGTGCACCCCCGCAGGATAAAGGATGGGTTGGAAGAAGGTTCAAGAATGGGAGGTACCCTTGACGATTGCGCCAACAGCGTCTAGTTTACATATTACTTGACAGAACAACCAGAAGGCCGCTTGGTGTACTGAATGGTACTAGCAGCTTGCGTTGTTTTTAAATTTAAGATTACCACTTAGAACAAAGTCGCGACATCGCAAAGGTGAAGCCAGGGATCTCTGGTGTGAGCTCGTGCTTTCATACCCTCTTTTTAATTACGAGCTGAGGCAAGTGTCACGATGCACAGTCATAACGTCTCTAGAAAGACAACTTGGTGCCTGTGTGCCTGTGTTGTAATGCGAAGTTTAATATAGCAGCCATGTCTGTACACGGCAATGTCTGCTACGCTCCAAAAGCCAATTTTACCAGAGTTGTCGAAACTGCATGATTATAGTCGTCATGCATGTGCACATAAAATGGGTTCGGCTTTATTTTCAGATCAGTACCTGCGTGAGCTACAATCGTTTGTGCTGGCATTTGCCCAGTCTACGGATCGAGAGAGCAACACAGTGAAAAATAGACAGACAGGTGAGGGTCACGGATACATAATGTACACTAAGATTTGCCTGTACTGATATCTGTCATGCATCGTCATAAACTCATATTCAAGCTAGCGGAGATATCCGGTGGGAAAACAGGCGTATCGGCCATCGTATGAAGTCTCAACATCAAAAAGTATCGTGGTAGACCTGTCTGTAGTGTATGTGTAATTTCGGTATCAAATTATTGCCCAAAAAGGAAGTACAGATATAACTGAATTTGGTTTTACGTTCCCGTCTTTGTCAATGCCTCCCGGTCAACAGCGATGTTTGATGACTACCTCTGATTCAATCTAGATGAAGACAACATGCAGATTTACCCGTGCATCGTTTTGAGATGAGTTAACCCTGTACAGCTCCACTTGGTGAGATAACTCACATGGCAGTAACCCGAACAGTTCGTCATAGTTTACGCGAACATGAACATATCTCTGCCAGCTTTACGTACCAAAAAGTCATTGCCTTCTTCACTCGGTCAGCTATTCGATGGGCTTTCTCAGTTTGCACGATATGTCTCGACTCTCAAACGCACTTTTTCCGGACGGCCACGCGGCGTCGAGATAAGCCTCACCGTTTCTTTTCCGTTGATCGCATCTCGAATATGATCCCTTAGCGCTCAAACCGATCGATAAGTAAAGCAGAGGCGTGTCAGAGCTGTTTCAGTCATCTGCGTCGACATACTTGTGCTCGAAGCGTTGTACAGGCTATCATCAGACGATTGCTTCGAGTAAAAGTGCAGGTTCGTCACAGAGCTCATTCGATAGCCTGTTTGAACATACTTGTGTTGAAGCGTTGTCCTGGCGATCATTGTATGACTCCTAGCAACAATCACGAGTTTGTACTTGTTGATATTACACATTGACCAGTCACATATCTAAGCAGTGTACGCGACGTTTAACTTCTACATTGCAAATATCAACATTGCATAAGCTTACGTCGTGCACATGTGGAATCCCTATCCAGTATCACCGCTGGTCACAGAATGCAGGTGATGAAAAATAGGAGCTACTTTTTGCTTCACTCAGCACGCGAGGGGTTGTAGATGACATAAACGTAACGTGTGTTTCTAGAATCAAGACGTGTCGAAAAGTTAAATGTGCGGCAACCACTAATATGCCTGTCGACGATGAAAAGATACGACGTAAGTTGAGCTGGCGGTAAAAGGACCTCTCGTGCTTCAAATCAACCTCGGCACACAACCGTACGAACTTGAGATGCAAGATTGCCTCAGTGTCGAAAGTCAAGCAAAACGGGCATCGTGACGTATATCACACGCCATACATTGAGCCAGGTCGAGTGAGCGAGAACCAAGCGCTTGCACCGGGAATGAAATTCCAGCTGAACCAGATCATCAGTGTTTTGGAGGCTAAACAAGAGTGAGTGGTGTGGTGTTGCATCGTGCCAATTTGACGTGGCTGTTTGAGCCTGATTCCATAAGTATATCAATGTGAACAAAAGGCAAGAGCCGCTTTTACCTTTGCACTTTTGTTTTTTATTTGTCACTCGCTCACATCACTCACCCTTTCTTAAGCTTGAGCTCTGTTTACCTTACAACCTCATTGAATGTGCATTTAGTGTCGACTCGTTAAAACAACGCTTACCGTCATGAAGGTTTCCCTATTCATTATCAGAGTGGTCGCAGTATCGTCACGTGCATCCGAAACGAAGCGCCAGGTCAGCGCCATCTACACGCAATTGGATTTGACGTGGCTAAACGAGACCTAACAGCTTTATAGGACACGATGTAGCTGTTGTGGTTGACTGGCACGCTTGAGTAGATGTGACGGGATCACACGACAGTTACCGCCATGTAGGGATGTACTTTGTATATGTGATATACAATCTCAAGTTTTATCGGTGATAATCGATGTGGTTGATAGCCTCAGTCACCCATTGACGACAGATTGATGTGCCATCCATCAGCATTTGATAGACTGAAGATTACTATGTGAAATAGTTCAACCCTAGCATGATGGAGTCGAATGAATTTCCTTACAGGTAAAACTAACAAAATAAAAAGTCAGTTCCCCTTTGATCTTAGATTAACACGTGTCTCTTTTGGACGTTAGTAGATTGTTACGAGTACGAGCCAGCTCGAGGCGCACACTCGAGAGCACATGTGCGTACGATTCCTAGAGTCGTTGCTACTTCCATGAAGTAGGACTAGAATCTCTGCGAGCTTACAGACTCTCCGAGTCATTGTTAACGAGTTCTAAGAACTAAAGGTTCTTTCGACTGATAGGAACTGAGTTTCGTAAAACTAATTGTGACTTCAAGAGTCACAAGTCTCTTCTGACTAAGAGCTGTGCAGTTCAACTACAGTGAAGTGGCTGTGACACTAGAAGCAAGTACTTACCCACGAAGCGTTCCTTTCGCTGCACTCTGTAATCGAGTCGATGTAAAGTGGCAACATCTTGAGCTCGGACATTTAGTCAGCGACAGATGGTTCAGTGCCTCACTGCTTTTTACGGCACAGTGTTGCCTCCCACTCATGATGATTGTACCAGCGCTAGTCAATCAAACGCATTCCAGAGCAAAGTCGCATTCAAATTAGATCCCCTGGTCCACCAGGCTGATGGAACATGACCACTATGATCCCTGCGTTTGTTGAAGTTTGTGCTTTGCTACGGCATATTTTAACATCTTCAGGCAATGAAGCAAGATGTAGCCAAAAGTTAAAACGTCTCACAAGCTGTGCGGAGATTGTCAAGGATAGCACTGCTTCGACACCTGCCCCGTACAGTTCATGATATGAGCTACGGCTATAGCTCGCACGGCGTCACCTTGTGCGACAGGCAGTAGCATAAACGGAAACGGTAGAGGTGAGATTTAGAGCTTAAGGACATATCCTGTCGCTGTGGAAAGACCAAACAACGAACGTGGTGTGCAACCAAAGACATTCATGGCGTTGGAGCCTCAAGAGTGCTAGAATGGCTCTTGGACGAGTCGAATTGATAATTAATGCAGTAGTGCAACATTGTAGCCTCGCTGAATTAAAGGTGTGACGAGTAAAGGTTGTTATGAGCTCGCCATATACTGCAACGTCATCTTCGAGAATCCGGTCTACCATGTCAACAAAGGCTCGGCTGCTTTGTATGGACCAGTTCAACCGTTCGACGAACACGTGTGTGCAAGTGACACGCCGATGGTAAGAACAGGTCGAGCTTGTCGCCGGAGACACGGATATAAGCAGCAAGGCATGTGATATAGCAATGGCAAAGGTATAAACTACACGCCTGAGCTTAAGAGAGATAATCGTCTGATCTGATTTCGAGATGATAATCGCACTGACCGAATGCAGCAGCTAGAGGATAACTTGCTAATTCATACACCTTAGAAGGTGGATGATGGATATCGTAGCGGTAGCATCCGGGAAGCAACTACAGAGGATACGTTGCAGAAATTCATGGCTGGACCGCGGATAATGCGGGTTATAGTTGGGTGATACACCTCAACCAAGGATGAATTGGCTGGGATCGAAACAGAGCACGACCGCGGATTGCAAGCGACCACAATACAGAACTGGGGCAAGCTTGATTGCACATGAAGACCGCGGATGACGGTGCGCCTATGTATGTAGACAAGTAGACACACGCAGGAGGGTAGTGTTTGCTGACCAGCTTTAGTTGGTCACTATCAAACGTACTAAGTCAAGTACAAGTCAAGTGCCCTGGTGACAAGAATCGCTTCGTTTTTCTTCCAGAACTCAAGAAACTCATAATAAAAGGATGTGCTGAGTGGCATCACAGAAACTAGCATCGTCAGAGCCGGTGCTGCACCAATATTGACACTCGAGCTACTTCGACAGCGACAGAGTTCTTCTGCTGGGACGGTGATGGAGCAGCGTCTTCAAAGGCAATACTGCTGCACTGGCACTAGGTGCCGGCGTCGATACTTTCTTCGCTGTGGGATAGGAGTGTTCTCGACGAATCTAATGGATACGATGGAGGTAGCTTCGAAGCTGCACATGTGCTCGTTGTGTATGAGGCGGCGTTTACCATGTACAGGTAGTCTACGATAGATTCATACGTCGTCACCCACACACACGAGGTCAGTGCAGTGAAGTCGTTGAACCGACTTCCAGTAGAATGGTGGCAAACGCCTTTACTGCTCAAGTAACCTACTACGGACTTAGACGAAGCTCTGGGGAATCAAATCATCACATTCGGCCCAGTTCAAATGTAGTTGTCTCGCACATGATGATTCGAAGTCATCACCGTTAGCCATTGCCGTGTTCGTCAGTGCCTGGGGATGATTCCCGCATACAGCCGCATTTAACAGCAACTGTCGAGCGAACGCTCCGTTCTCTCCTGAGAGTGCAGATCTACGGGCATCCAAAGTATAATGGTGTTATGATGAGACATCAATAAACTCGCATGGTGAACAAATAATTCAAGATCATCGTCAATAACAAGGTTCTTCACGGCGTGCTCTTTAAAAATGTTATAGGGCGCGCAAGACCAATACTTTGGTTCACGAGAAGCGACACGGCACAAGCCACGTCGCTCATTTAATGAGATTGAGTGGGAAGATGCAAGAACTGTGTGACCTGTTTCCTGCTGCATTAGTGACCAAGTGTGACACAAAGATGAATTGAAGGCTGAGTGGACTAGACTCCTGGATTTCCTAAAGTGGACGAATCATTATCGAGGAGACCCGAACACATGATTTTGTTCGATGTCTTCATGGTGCACTGCTGTGTCCTCTTCCAACACACAGCGAGTGTCGAAGGCAACAATATTTGACGCATCGCAATACAGTTAGCACAGAAACAGCGGTCTAGCCGACATTACAACTTTTGTCAAGGTGAGAGGCGTCGGCTCATTTCAAGTCTATTAGTTAACGGAGCTGACGGGTGATCAAGTATCACTACCTTGGTGTCAATGAGACCGTATGCTCTTCTTTCGCGACCGTCAATTCGCTGAGTTCTGAAAACAGCTTCTCCTGTATGTGGTTCGACCTCCACATCTCACCCATTTACATTGCCCAGCATCAATGAGCAGGCTCGACCGGTCATAAAGAAGTGTGAGGGATCAAAGGCTTACTAAAGCCCAAAGCTAGAATTTACACTGAGCAAAACAAGGCACGTACGTGTGTAAAGTGTGATTAGGCCTTTTGTGCTCAAACGCGCACGCTCAAGCAGCTACACTGCAACTGTACGATGCTACATCACACACGACCATTGTACTTCACTGCCTATGTGGACTTCGAGACTGTGATGACTTGGTTGAGAGAGTAGGACACACCGGGAATAACCCCAAGGTTTTCACTCATCCCTCCGACTCCAATCGCGACCATGTGAATGTACTCCTCGTTACTGAAGTCACTCTTGGTATCCTCGTTCCAGGGGTTCGAGACGACACAGTCCGTTTTGGCGGCACTCGTTGCGATGCGACCATCGTTAAACCGGGCAGTTTTCTGGATGGTGACCTCTTCGTTGAATCCGTTACCCTTAATAGTAACGGTCACGTCGCTCTTGACGTCCTTGTAGATGCTGTCAACCCGCGACACGATGCTAAAGCTCTCGCGTGTATCGTTCTGAGTCGTTCCTGTCACGCGGTCAAGGTACTCGGCATTCTGCAGGCCCGAAATCGCCACACCATTGTCACGAATGTCGTTGACGTAGAAGTGGTTGTTCAGCAGCGCTTGGAAGCTCATCCCTCCTGAGCCAGTGGTCATCACCGTGAGGTCCGTTTCGAGCGAAGAAGAGTCCAACCGCACCGTGTACATTAGCAAGAACTTAAAAGGCCACATCTGATGGGTGGCGTCCGATGACTCCAAGCGGAGCGACGCAGAACTGTAGGAGCTTTCATCACTCGCCAGCTCCACATGCTCAACGGCCCATCTGCTAACCCGGGCGAAACCGAGCTCAGGAACAGGATAGTCCTTGGAAGCTTCGGAGTTCGGGAACACGACGGTGATGCCGCCACCGATAGGTTTTAGGCCGTCATGGACCGTCTCTCTGGGCACGACCAGCACGTTCCCAAACGGGTCATAGGACGGGCTGAACGAGAATATGTTTGCGCCAAAGGTGTCTATCTTCAGGTTGGAGCCAGACGGATGCGTGAGAGTGATGACCCCCTCTTGACCCACGCCAGTAGCTCCAGCCGATGTCAGCAGACTCGATGACACCAAGGCCGCAGTCTTGAACAGGAACGAATGGACCATGGCTCACGTCGAGAGGAGTGGCAGTGGGTGTTGAGGTCGAAGGTGCACTTGTGGTGAAGGAGATGAATTCCGAAATGACGAATGGAGATGAGCGAGACGGTGGCGAAGGAGACTACGGGTTGATTGTGGTGTAGAATGAGCAAGTGCCAAGTGATCAGCATGGCACGAAATGATCACAAGAAGGAGATGGGATACCGTTGGATTGCTGGCGGACGAGGCCCGTGGACGACGTACAGACCATCCCATGAGTTGCGTGCCGTGGATTCATGATGCGTGCGACTCGATGGGGCGCCTGTCACACACTTTTGGCACTCGTGTCCCTGCTACACCATGACACAGGTAAGTTCAAATCGGGTCTTACGCTCGACAGGGTACAAGGTCGTGCCTTCATTCGTATGGAAGCCATGGATGCAGCTGCCCGTCCGATCTCAACGATTCCCCATTTAACGTAGTTGTATCGCATCGGGTATTCTCGATATCTCGGTAAGAAACGCATGGCCAAATGTCGCGCGGAGGATGATGGTGCGATTGACGCATCTAGAAGTTCGACCCTGACACATCTCGGACACGCGTGGATCAGGTTGAAGCTATCGCATACAAACAACTGCACCGGCTCATAAGGCAACAAGTGCAAGTGGCCCATTTGCGCAGGGTGAAGTCACCGCACGTGTCCCAGAAAGCCTGATTCTTGCACAGCTCGTGGAATCGCCGAACTCGCTGGATGAAATCCCATCAACATGCAAGTGCTCGTGCCAACGGAAGAAACCGCGTGAGAAGTGAATAGCCGTTCTAGCTTCGTCAATTCATGAGTATTTCTAGAGCAACGTTGGTGCAGTTGACGTAGCCAGTTTGGCCTGCACGCTTCGTCGTGAATCACTGAGCCTTTTGTCGCCACTTTTTGCACGGCATGCAGCCAGCCAACCTACCATAAAAAGGGCTACAGCCACTCGTACATGTCACGCTGGCTCCAGGCTGTTTTCGAGCAAGCAATTGTACTACAGTCCTCCCCCCCATAAGTTATAGCCTTGGTGGAGGCCAGATCCTATAACTTATCAGAGGTTAATTTATTTGAGAATAATCAATTGAATAACGATAAAAAAAGCTGACCATTTATTATTTTATCACTTGTCAAAACAGAACAATGTCTGCAAAGCTATTAGTGTTAGCATCACGATTGTCAATTATTGATCAAGATAGCGGACCACAGAACATTTTTTATTACCCTTCTGGTAAGGGACGCGTCTGGGCACCGCTTATGGAAATTATGGAGTTTTCGTGCGTACAATGCATTGTCTTTGTGAGTGCATCGAATCCAACTTGAACACATTTAATTGAACACAATAAATTGATTGTATCACACTCAACTGAGTCATTAAACCAAACACAGTTAAAGAACCTTCGTACACAGTTAAAGTACTGTACCTTGTTTACATTTTGTGCGCGATTGCGCAACCTTTTGCAACTCGCCTGGCGGGCTGGCCACCGGGGGTCGGGGTATAAAAGGCACCCTTTTTCTCTCTCGACCAAACAAACATCCCTACATTCTACATCCACACATCACCTGCCCTCTCGCTTTCCCTCTTTCACTTCCTGTCCACTTCCAATTCTCTCCCGAACCACAAATTTGGAAAAACCCAGAACCCCACACCTACCCACCCACCCTCCCACCCACTTACCCACCCACACATCAGAGATGTCTCAACTACGTCTCACCAACGACCAGAAGCTGAGGATCATCAAACATAAGGATGATCATCCGAGCCTCACCCAGAAAGAGCTTGGAATCTGGACGAAGGAGGCATTCGGCCTCCCCAAACCTATGACGCAGGCCTCAATCAGCAAGATCATCAGCAAGAGGAAGGAGCTTGAAGCAATGAGTCCATCAGAGCTCTCTGCTAAGCGTCCCCGCTCAGTTTTACATCCTGCCTTGGAAGAAGCAGTGGCCCTCTGGATTTTGCAGTGCCAGCATCGTGGAGTTGCCCTCACCGGAGACCTGATCCGTGCCAAAGCTGCAAGCTTTGATACGTTCATGGATATTCCGGATGGATTAATCAAGTTTACCTATGGGTGGCTCTACAAATTCCAGCAGCGCCACAAGCTAAGGGCCATCCGTATCCATGGCGAGAGCGGTTCAGCCGATGTGGATGGACTTGAAGCAGCTCTACCAGAGTTGCAAACAGCCATCGCCAAGTTTGCTCTCCGTGATGTGTACAACCATGGACGAAACTGGTAAGTTCTCCTGAAGTCTTTTATGCTCTGTGTCATAAATTCCAAGATGATTTCCAGGATTATTTTACAGCATGACACTGGATAAAACTATTGCCCAGAAGTAATTTGAAAACTTCAAAAAAGTCAAGGTGAGTGGCATTTGGCTTGTTGGAATCCGTGAGATCAATGGAATAATTGACATGCTTGTCAGACTCGCATCACAGTGGCTCTGACGGAAAATGCTGACGGATCTAATTAGCCCCCTCCATTCTTTATCGGCTGTGCAAAGAAGCCTCGTTGCTTCCAACGGAAGTCAGGAGAAGAGCTCGGGATTCTTTATCTCTACAACAAGAAAGCCTGGATGACTGGGGTCTTTTTACAGGAATGGCGTGAAAACCTGGACAGAGACATGAAGGTAATTGAACAATCGCCCATTCTGAGATATCAGCTGCAAAACGAAGCACTTATTCATATTCTAGCGCCAGGATAAAAAATCCATCTTTTATTATGGACGATGCACCTTCGCACTTAACTTTGAATCTTGTGCTCACCAACGTCACCGTGCAGGCTCTGCCGCCCAATACCATATCCAAGGAGCAGCCAATGGGCGCCGGTACCATCGCTGCATTCAAGCGCCACCACCGGCGTCTGCACCTACAGAACGCTTTGGATCGCGATGATGCGGGAGCGGCCGATCTCTACAAAGTCGATCAAGTCACAGCCATGCGTTGGTCACTTACAGCGTGGAGCGAGATTTCGAGCACCACTATTGCGAATTGCTTCAAGCACACTGGGCTCATGAATGGGCCGACTTCACCAGCGTATGAAGGAGGCGCTTCAGCAGGGGACATTCAGCAGCCTGTGCAACAGGATGCAGATCTGGTTGACCAGGAGGAGCGGGAATTGGAGAAGGATATGGAGTCAGCTCTGCAACGCCTGCCTTTGCGCAATCCGATGTCTATTGCGTCACTGCTCAATCCAGTTGATGTGGAGCCGAAGGTGCATGCGGAGTTAAGCGACGCCGAGATCATCAAGCTCGTCCAGGATGCTGAGGAGGAGAAGGAAGGAGAAGCTGAGGAGGAGGTGGTGACACATTCCATAGCTGAGAAGCTCGCTGCTCTTGCTTTGTCCATTTTCCTCCTTGATCTCTCCCAGGATCGAGACCGCGCCGCCCACCGCGCTCTTCGTCGCATTCAGGCCCAACTTCGTAGTGCCAATACAATTCAAACCACACTGGATTCATGGCTTAAATAGGATCTAGGATGCTCCAAACAATATTCACCTACCCTTGACAAAACAATTGCTCCCCCTGATACGTTATATTGGGCCTGGGCGGGTATTCCATATTCCGTATTCCACAGTCGCCATAGAACGGCGTCGGTGGACCCGAAATATTATAACTTAGCAGAGGTTATACCATATGGGGGATAACTTATGGGGGGAGGACTGTACCTTCCGGCTCTTCTTGACCGCAATCAATACGCAATCAATATTTGTACGGGACGAGGCTATTCCGTACTTTGAATTTTGCTATTCCATACTACAAACGCCATCAAACGTTTTTACGAACAGCTGATTAGTTTAATAGCTTAATTTTATCTGTCTTATGATATATATAGAAGGTCAGAGGTGCGAAGATTGAAGAGCTTCCATTGACTGGAATTAGTTCTGAGCCTCAGGGACGGGTCGAACATCTCCAAGTGGAAGATTACCCATGTCCAAATTCATTTCTGGAGCACTGGATGTTGCTTAATTGTCTAGCTGATCCTGGTGTGACGACACCTGCACCCGATAGTCCACCGTAGCTAGTGTTCCAGCACAAACGTGCTGCTACTTCCCAGATGCAACTCTGATTGATCATGCAGCAATTCCAGTCAATAAACTGACTAACACCATCGTACAACTTGACTCGGCGTTGGCTCACGCTTATTCTGGCTATCATCTTTGGCTTCGTGATCGTCAACGCCGACTACACAACGAACCAAAGGCTGAACTAACCCGTGGGTATCATTTTTATGACAACACTGCATCAAAAATACGTGACGTACGTTGCTTGTCTGCCCTTTATAGAGCGGGAACGAGCCGTCTACCACCGCGAGTGCGACGCGCAGACATACAACACTCTCTAGTACTTCCTCGGCATCACGTTTGTCGAGATCGCCTACGTCTTTTGTGACGGGGTAGCCCGTTACATGATATTAACACCAAATGGTGTCAACAGGGAGATTGTCGAGCATGTCAAAATCGTACCAATTTTATCCGAGATGGATAATATTGCGGAAAAATTATCCCCTTTTGGATAATATTCTTGCGCTGCTCAAAGATTAGTTGATAAATGACAATTCGACCAAGATTACCACCAATCGCTGCTAGACGCGCGCAATGAGTGGTGAGCAGGTTGTCGTCATATATGACGACGTAGTTTTATGTCGTTAGATAAGGATTAAAGTTATATTGATAGCTTAACTTTATTGAACACAGTTCTCTTTTTACCTTTACTTAAACGAGTCGTTTAAGTAGATTAGATTCCTCTGCACGTACTAGTGTACGTGAAGTTTCGTGGCACCCCAAACAAAGGTTGTCCCGTTTCACCTGGTAGCACTTTGTAGTCTGTCCAACTGCTACTTAGTGTCCGTTTAACGTGTTCATGTTAGACGTATAGGACGACAGCTTTCACGTCACACGTGAAGGCTACTCCCATCTGAGTGACTAAAATTGAAAGTTAGTCGGCCGCATGAGTGTGCTCATGGGCGAACCCGCCATCAGTGGCATATTGGAGTCTCTAAGCAGAGACCAGCGACATGATGCTATCAACAAGTTCCTACAGGGGGAACTTGCCTTCGAAAAACAGAAGATAGCCTTGCTACAACGGCAAGGCTCTCATCAGTCGATGGGCGGGACGACGCACATGCGTCGACCCGAAACCTTGAAGATTGGTATCTCAAGGTACAAGGGAACAGATGAAGATTTTCTTTTGAAATGTTTCGTCGAGTTAGACGACGCCATCAGGGCCCGTCACATTGAAGGTAACTAGATGCAAGTCACCTTCGCTCTATCGAATTTGGCAGGACGAGCAAAGACTTGGGCCTTAGGGCTCAAGCTTCACGACCCAAACGTGTTTGAGTCACTAGAGATCTTGAAGTCTCGACTCAAAGAAAGTTTGAGCCGCCGAAAGCCGAGTTCAGAGCACGATCTGCACTCCTGAAGCTCAAGCAAGGTAAGCGTGACGTGCACGCTTACGAACAACATCTACGCAACCTTGCGAGTGGCGTCACAGAAAACCCTGTTGATGAGCACACTCTCATCAACGTATTCATCTACGGCCTTGTAGATGGGCCGATGAAGACCTACATGTTTAGAGAGGCCTTCCATACGCTGGAAAGCGCGATAGCGTATGCGGAACAAGAAGACTTCAGCTTGAGACAATCGCAGGCAAACTTGTCAAACTATCGTCTGACGAGACGACAGGAAACAGGAGGTCCCGAACCAATGGATCTCTGTTACATCGAGAGCGAGAACTCTCGCTCTCTGAGTCACAAGCGAACGACAAGATACCATCGCTGCAAAAAATTGGACACTACGCTCACGATTGCAGTGCCTCGAGCACCGCAACACGTCCAAAGGCAGGACGTGATGACCTCTGTTAGCCAAGGAAAGATCCAAGGCGTGGTTCCGACCATGTCGCTAAGCCACGACCGCAAGTCGGATCGCCAAAAACGGACTGGATCAGTAGGGGCGGAGTACCCTGCTGATACAGCAACGTCAAGAAATTTGCAGGACTCTTGACGAAGATTGCTCGCAACACGCAGAAGCTGTGTGTTACTGCACGTAGTGATGAGGAGTCCCTCATCACTTTGACGATCGAAGTGACAAGTAGAATGTCACTTCGCGCCCTAGTTGACTGTGGGTCGTCGAATAGTTTTATTAGACGCCAGTCGCTAAGGGATATTAGTCTCAACTATGTTGAGCGAGAGTTCCCTCCAACGAGGATGATGGTGTGTCTTGCTACAGGCGCATCTGTAACAGTGAACAAACGTGTAGTGGGAATCCACTACACGCTAGAAGGAAAGCCGTACGATGATGAATTCATCGTACTGGATTTGGATGACAAATTTGATGTCGTCCTCGGTCTGCCATGGCTTAGAAAATACCAGCCATGGGTTAGCTGGCAGAAGATGCCTGCCGTTTGTTCATCAGATGGCCATCTGATGAACGTCTTGGAGCGTCTTCAAGCGTGTGGATGTACTACAAGTGAGTGCGATGGCCTCACTTGTGGTACGGTAGTTAGTGTGACTGCACAAGATCACAGTGTAGAAGTCCACTGCACTGTGGAACCAGCTTCCGGCACCTGTGTAGAGACACAGGCTGTGCCGAAGGTTCACCACTAGAAGAAATCGAGTGGACTGGAACACGGGTGCGCACCAAGAAGGGTGCATCCAAGAAGACAAATTAGTGTTGTTTAAAATGAACAACACGTTGAAGCGAGATCGACTAACAGAGAGTCGGTCGTAGAGCAAGCCTGATCGACTTAAAGAGAGTCGATCGAAGAAGACGTGACTGTGGTAGTACACCCACAGTCCGAACAAAAAGTGAAAGAAAGTTTTATCGTTCCTGAGAGTTATAACTCCCGAGAGAGTTATGTTTAGGGTGTGGATTCCCAACCACCTGCGGATGTGTTTTCCCAGGAAATCACCAAGACATTGGAAGGTCCTGGTGAATGACGGATCAAGTGTAGGCGCTTATACACTTGATCTTGTTACACCTCCAAAGTCAGCTTCGGAGGTAGTCAAGTTGCCAACGCTAGAATCTAAAAGATTCTTGCGAGATCTGCGTAGTGACAAGATCAAGCAGATCTGCGTAATCGTCACAGAGGACGAGTACGTCGCCGATATTCGGTCGGCACAAGTGTTTGCTGAGAACGAACGGGTTCTCAGTAGCTCATCTGTGGACGAGATTTTACTCGATGAAAAGACCCGGATTGAGCGATACACGTCTCAATCTTGGGAGTCCTCAAAGACAAATCCTTTGTATAAGGATTTGGTGGAATTCAGGGGTGTTCTCCCGGAATCCGTGCCATGCGAGCTGCCTTAGGACAAAGACACTCGGCTTGAGATTGAATTGAAACCCGGTTCGAAATAATGTGTCATGAAGCAGTGGCCACTGACACGTGAACAGGTCACAGCGATCGACAAATTCTTTGCCGATCGTCTAGCGGCTAGTCATGTGAGGGCATCAACATCCCGACACAGCTGTCCGACCTTCTGTGTGCGAAAGGCCACAGGAGGGTGGCGGAGAGTGCACGCGTTCAACAAATTGAACACTGAAACGATACCGGCTCAGACGCCATTACCGAGGAAGGACGTCATCATAGATGGTTTGGCAAAGGGTACCATCTTTTCGTCCATGGGTTTGATGGATGGATTCTGTCAGAGTCCAATGCTTGAACGGGACATCCCGTACACAGCAGTGAAAACCCCTGTAATATGCTCTGGGAGTGGCTAGTAATGCCACAGGGGCTAAGTAACACCCATGCAACATTCAAAAGATGTGTTACGAATATGTTGCGGTCGATGCACGATTTCGCGCCGAGTAACTTCGACGATGTCTTCGTCCATAGTCGGGATATGGATGGAAAGACGGACGTGGAGGTTCATAGAATTCACGTCCGGAAGGTTCTTACGCATAAGCGAGAGCGTAATTTGTTCGCGAACCTCAAGAAGTGCTTATTCGCAGCTAACGAAAAACCATTTCTTAGTTTCATTGTGGGTAAAAACGGTGTACGCCCTGATCCGGAAAAGATCAAGGCGATTAGCGACTGGCCTGTGCCAGTCGACGTCAAGGAACTTCGAAAGTTTCTTGGATTGGCGGCGTACTTGCACAAGCACTCGCGCAACTACGCCGAGACGACCATTATCTCTCTGGTCTGCTAAAGAAATACGAGAGGTGGTCATGGAGCGCTAAGTGTCAGCACTCCTTCGAAGATATCAAGAATAGCTTGATACAATCACCTGTGTTGGAGATTGCAGACCAGGACAGACCATTCCATGTGGTCTGTGACGCCAGCGATTTTGCGATCGGCTGCGCGTTAATGCAGAACGACTCATACGGCGTTGAACGTTTCGTCTGTTCTCAATAGCGTCAGCTGCAAGCAGCTGAGCGTATTACCTGGTGCATGAAAAGGAACTCCTTGCCATGAAATACACATCGGCTAAGTTTCGGGTATATCTCTTAGGAGATAGGCCCTTCATCGTTTATACCGACCATGCGTCGTTACGCACGGCCGTAAAAAGTCCACACCTCTCGCAACGAACGGCGAGGTGGCTGTCTTTCCACGCGAAGGACAACATCTCCAGCGAGTATAAATCAGGACGAATTAATGTCGTCGCGAAAGAGCATCAGCGACGACATTAAGTCGTCGCTGATGCTCTTTCGCGTCGGCCCGATTTTGAGCCGACTGCTAAACCCAACAGTAGGGGCGATCCCACTGTTGCAACACTATCAGTGGGTGTTCCGTTGTCAAATCTGCTCCACGACGTGCGAAGAGCATACGCAGAAGATGAGTCTCTTCTGCGATTTATGTATTACGTATCTTATTCCTGCCGTCAACCTTTGAAAAGCTTGTCGTCTCAATACCGCTTTTTAACCAAATGGTACTCGGTTTGTGATGAAATGCTGTACTATATAGAACTCAACGGCGACACACCTCGTGTCGTCGTTCCGGCTCATAATAATTTGCGATTGCGCTTCATGTATGAGTGTCACGATGCCCCAACAAGTGGGCATCGCGGTAGGGAAAAGAATTACCTCACGGTGAGTCGTGAATTCTACTGGCCCCGCCAGTATGAGTTTGTGCGGAAATACATACGCGCTTGCAAAGTTTGTCAACGAGTGAAGCCTATTCCTTCACCCCGCGCACCCTTGCAGCCTCTACCGGTTCCAGCAGAGTGTTGGCAGTCCATATCGATGGACGTCGTCTTTGGGCTTCCCAAAGACGTTCACAAAAATACTGGTATTCTTGTGTTTGTTGATCGGCTCATCGTGTTGCTGTACCGGATTCAATCACAGCCCAGGGCTGTGCTCATGTCTTCATAGATACTATCTTCCGACTTCATAGGTTACATCGTGAGCTCGTGTCGGATAGGGACCTCCGCTTCACAACGGAGTTCTGGCAATCCGTGTTCCGTTCACTTGGAACACGTTTGAGGATGTTGACTTCTGACCATCCAGAGACAGATGGTCAGACGGAACGCGTCAACCGCGTCGTCGAAGAGATATTTCGAGGGTATGTCCACTCGTTTTCGAATTGAAGTGAGTTCTTGCCGGTGGCGGAATTCGCCATCAACAACTCGGCGCACGCGTCGACAACGCATACACCGTTCTTCGTGAATGGCCTATGCCACCCACGTTTACCCGCCTTCTTAGAGTGTGGCTCTAGTTTAAGGGGAGGGTGGAATCTCTCGAGCAAAAACCGATCCGGTTCTTGCTCATCACCCGTCGACAATGGTGTAGACGTGATGGATGCCGATGTCGATCACATCGATATCGATGATGATGATGAAGACGATGTTGGTATATTCAGCATCGTCAATGACTGCCACATTGAGGATGATGACGCCCTCACTGGTGAAGACAACGTTCCTTCAGCAGTCCACAAGAAGCGCACTGCTGTTGACAAGGATGAATCAGCAGAGGAATTTCTGCTGACTCGCGAAGCGGTTGTCCGCTTCGTTCAAGACTCTATTGCGGATGCATTAGACTGACAGAAGAGAAACGCAGACAAACATGGAAGAGCACATGTTCTTTCATTTGATGAAGGAATTTTGACTTTACTGTCTACAGTAAATCTACCGAAACGGGCAGTGACAAACGTGGGCAGCAGTAAATTACTGCCCAAGTACATCGGTCCATTGCGTGTGTTGCGCCGAATGTGCAACGCATACACGATTGAACTGCCCCGCAAGATGCGTACGCATCCTACGTTTTCCGTCGGTCGTCTCCGCCCGTACCATCAGTACGAGCCCGTTTCGAGATGCGAAGAAACCCTCCGCAGTCGAGAGCCGAGACCACCTTCGAGTAGTCCCGTTTTAACGAGCCAGTCTGGCCGACTAGCGAAGCGACCTGCTCACGCAGTTGAGCGACGTGTCGACGGACTGCAGCCAGATAATCACGAAGAGAACGAGTTGAACGTTCGTCTCTCAGGTTGTGCGAGCGCAATTGCGCCACGATCGTTTGAATGATCGTGCGCTAAGATAGTGTAATTATACTTCAAAAAGTCATGAGTTTACAGCGCCGAGTCCGTTCATGAGCCAAATCTTCGTGTAACTGATCCGTAACACGGTTCAGTTCCTTAACATCAAGCTGATCAGATCCTCGAGCCGGATCCTCGAGCCCGCCACCACCACATCCTTTGGTGAATTCTGGCGATGGTCAACGCTTTCTGGTGAAGCGTGTCTTGAACCACCGCGATGTGAAGGGCGTCCAGACGAGTTACCTTGTCCGCTGGCGTGTCTATCCACTGGCCTGGTACAGCTGGGAGCCTCACGAACAGCTAATTGTTGACGTTTTGGGTCTCGTTGAGCAAAATGACGAGACCCACCCGCTGCGTTCGAAGGAGAATCATCGTTAAACGACCTCACCGAACGTGAGTACAGGTATTGCGAATTGTCAATCCCTTCGACCATCTCAGAAGAGATGCGCGCCCTCCAGTAGGGATCATTAAGGAGGTTGGCCTCCCCAGGGGCACGATTCGAGCTGTTCAGGCACCTTGGACACGAGTCACCCCAGGAGAGAAAGGGTAACTCTGCCTCTCTTGACATCCGGTGCAACTTGTATCGAACCCCGACTGGGTTACGCTTTTTAAACCGGATGCGAGCTGCATTAAGTTTACCAAGCTATGCATCACGGCCAATACACTCGATGTTATGGTTGAAGGCATTCCAACCTTGCACCAAGGCCTTACCGTCTCGAACACGGCTGGCATTGTGCAGCCGATGTTTGAAGAACGCATCGGTGAAGAATAATTCCTCAGCACGGATAGATTCCGTGCTGGAAAAAGGAGGACAGGTCCCCCTACAATCGAACAACAGAATTCGGTCCCGCTCGGTGATCATATCGGCCAATAGATCGATCGCCGTAATTGATGGCATCCAAAGAGACTCCACTTGAGGAGCGTGGCCCAGGACATTGCGGTCCTGGCATCTTGAATGGTGTCAGCATGAGCACTGACAATAGTAACACATCGATCCCTCGAGGCGCTTCTCTCGTGGTGACGCAAACGTGCGTCTTTGCGATCACCACGCGTTTTAGTGTCAGATACACTTGCGTGAGACGAAATTTCGTCAGACGAATCGCTCAATACGAAGATCTTGGACATGATTCCGCCACGTCCCCCAGAGCCAGTCAACCTGGCACTTGCAGCGTCCGCCCCACATGATCCGGAGGCAGGAAACGCCGGTCTCGAGTCGGATGCATCACTCGACTCGTCAGAATAGATTAAATCTATTTCTGGCTCATCCACATTGCGAGTAGCAGCACCCTCTGTAGAAGCAGTGGATATATCGGATGCACGCGGTCACTCACCACGTGGACTATTTACGACAGGCACCGCCTGTTGCTGAATAGCAACAGTAGGCGAATATCACCTGTTGGTGAAGCAAGAGAAGCAATCTCTTCGGATGCACGCATTCGTGCAACCGTTTTTCTAGCTACTTCGGCAGCACATAGCCTGGACTTTGACAGCATGCGATGAATTGGCATGTGAGTTAGAATTTGACTAACAAGTGCTCCCCTTCCCAGCGTGATCCAATGGTGGTCACCCTGTCCCAATAAGACTATTCAATCAACGAGTGATTGATGGTTGAGGAGGGGGGGGGTTGATGTAACGGGTAGATCGCTACATGATATTGACACCAAACGGTGTCAACAGGGAGATTGTCGAGTGCGGCAATTCTCTTCCAATATTATCCGAGATGGATACTATTGAAGGATTGTTATCCCTTTTTAGGATAATATTCATGAGCTGCTCTAAGATTGGTTGAAAACATGTCGAACAAGATTACCACCAATCGGTGCTAGACGCGCGTAATGGGTGGTGAGCAGGTTGTCGTCATACGACAATGTAAATTAATATCGTTGGGTAAAGACTGACGTTATATTGATAGCTTAACTGTATTAAATGCAATTTTTTTACCCTGTTACGCAAACGAGCTGTTTGAGTAAATTAGCTTCCTCTGCAAGTGCGAGGGTACGTGAAGTTTCAGGGCACACAAGCAAAATATGCCCCTATAAACTGCGAGTGGTTTTGCCAGCATAATGGTATGAGAATTTAGTAGTGTCACTCCTGCGGTTTTTATGACTAAGACAACTTATGCTATATTCGATCAGAAGTCTGCTGATGAAACCCTGTCGCTGTGTCCATTCAATTTATGCTTATGTACGAAATCCAGTTGAGGCTATCTTCGTTTTACTGAGTCCATCTTCGCTTGAATTGACATTCACTGTAGAGAACATACATTCGACAACAATCAGTTTCAACGCGCTGCTGCATCAAAACCTTCGCCCCTCACAACCTGCTAAACAACAGTGTGATGATTTAGTTCTGCAGGTTCGCGAATATTTAGATCTGATCTCTCGGAGGAACCAGACCTAGACGCTTGAGTGATTGAGCATAAAGATGCAGGCAGACATCATTTACAAAAATTTTATTAACGATGTCGCTCACGTCAAGAATGAACACTTCTGCTGGATTGTCATCGTTGGGGGGGTCTGCTGCGTGGGGTGAGGGATAGAACCTGTTACTTCTGACACAGACCACACTGTCTGGAGCCACTTAAATAGCGGTGCAAAGGACTTTTCCAACCTTGGTGACCAAAAGTACCTTCGCACGATCACCATTAAATCTGGACGAGTGAGCGAGAAGCAAGTGCTTGTTACAGGGCTGAGTTATTTTCTGAGCTCAGTTAACACGGTCGCGAAAGCTTGGCCAGTAAATGGAGGGGGCGTCGCGTAGGCGGTAGTGTCATGCTTCATTTACATGTGCTTGTAAAATTGAATTTGAGCGCTTATGGTTAAATACTGAAACATTCCTGTCGCTTGCACTGTAGCATTCAGTGTCCTGTTTTTCAGTTTAAAAATTCGTTGAAGAGGAGAGAAAGCTTAGGAGCTCGCCTTTTGGTGTAAGGACTTCAGTTTATAGGATTAAAGCAGTTCCATTTGTTGGCGTACCCATTTGTAGGGGGGTTGGCGGCGAGGAGGGGCCTTGTGTCGTGTGTGTTTATCAAAACAGTAATAGTGGTTTTTGTGTATCTAAGCTACTCATTGATGTTATTGGTCTATTCACAAAGACGAATTAAAGACCTTGTTCGACAACGCCGTGAGCAATAAAGTGCGACCTGCAACACGTAATTGCAAGCCCAACTGATTAAGCTATTAGTAAATGTTCGCTGAAGGCCAAACTTTAAAACCATCTTTATGTGTACGTCTCTTGTAACCGCTAGGTGTAACTTACACGTCGTACTAAGTGCGATATAGCCTATCACTTTCTGTGCACTACCCTGTCCCACTTATACGTGGATTATCATGTGTTTGGCTTGCAATTTTGACACAATCTATTTTTTGGACGATAATAAAACCAGCGTAAACAGCTCAGTCGGAAGCATTTTTCCTTTCGGAGCCCGTTTAGTGCAGATATCGAAGATTTAACCTTTACTAGTCTGATCGTTTACAAAGCTTTTAAGTATTTTGACGCAATGAACTCAAAAAGTATTGTATTTACGCGAACAAGAAGTAATTGTCACCCCCAAAATCACCTGACAATTTTGCAAACAGCCTTTTATAAACAGCTGCAGAAATGATGTAGATTTAAGTGAAGTTTTCATTTCGATTTGGTAGAATGAGTAAAACGATTAAATATCTAATAATATAAGCCATTTGATAAAAAAAAATTATCGACCATGATTATTGTTCTTGTCAAGGCTCAGACCATCCATTCTCACTGAGGATCACAACTGATCAAAATAATTAGTAACGATGAGGGAGGCTCTTTACGTGAAAAAACATCTTCTCACCATGCGGCAGCTTTAAAGTGTTATCACATTCGATTTCGCTGGCGAGCGCTCCCTGCCAATACCTCGAAATATATCTTTTGTGGTGATAAAATGCCAAAGGAAGCAGATTTCAAAACAAAGATATTTCGCTAGTCATCGCATTCCATGTATCTCACGTAAGTTCAAAATTGTAAACAAATGGAGCAAAGTGGCATGCTTTAGCGATAGTTGTACCTTACTCGTCGTACTAAGTGTGATGCAGCACTTTTTCCTTTTAAGAAATCGTCTATACTATAGTTCCAAATTTGCACTGACCGCACGCACACAAAAGCTCAAACCTGTTTTTTGGGTGATCTGCCCACCCACCTGCGCTGAACCATCCATATTTCAGATTCATCGCACCCACCCACGCCCACCCAAACTCTTTTGCCCAGTTGGTCATTTGATGATTTTGTATAGAAAATCCTCTTACAGCGTAGCTAATAAAAGTTCTTTTAATAGATGGTGCTGATAAAAATTGAGCTTGCAACGTTGCGACCCACGCTCATCCACCAATCGTTGGTCGCACCCACCAGCATGGAAGAGAATGGGCGTGGGTGGCCGAGGTTGTATATCGTCCAATTTGAAACTCCGGTGATTACTCTATAATGCGATTGTAGTTAGTGACCTAATTAAATGTGCAAAATCTAGTTTGCAGACCAACCTGGAAGGAGGAGACAGGTATCATCACACTTAGTACGACGTGTGAGGTACATTTACATGTCTCCTATACTAACTTGGAATCTCAATAGCCACATTTTAGTAGTTATCAGAGTTCAATAGATAATGAATAATAGTAGCGTCATAGAAAGGGCATTATCCAATTTAAAATATTTGACTTACATACATAAAATATAATTAGTTTATTAAAAATGAAACAAATTACAAAGTTCCCAGATTCACATAAGTAAATAAATATGAATGAAGCGAAAAGTAATCTTTATAACAAATGAATTAAATCCTCATCCACCCCTTTAATCTACCCGAAAACAGCACATTTATGTCCCCAGAGACCAATTGCACAGAATTTTACCTCTTGTTTGAACATCAATTCAGGTTATCCATCAAGTTCAGTAACACTTACCAATCCTTGTCGTTTCATGGTGTTGTCTTTAAAAAAACGATTTAATTTGAACTGACTATCCATGATGAGCTAAGTAACCTTATGGGAGGAGACAAGATAGCCAAGGCAAAGCCCAAAAATTAACAAATTGATATTGCTGTGTCGGAGGCGGATAAATGCAAGGAACGAGATGTAGTAGAGGACGAAGCAATTGCTGACAGATTGCCTAAATGCAGGCATACTCCTGTCTTAGGTAGAGTCTGCACCTTAAATTATCCGTCCAATGAAACAAGCCAACATAAGTTTAACCTACTCCGCAGTCTACCTGATAACATTTGCGGAGCCAACGCCACACAAACCAGCCTAGATGCTTGTATTGAACAAGTTTACTCCCCACAATTAATCAATTCCCTATCTAGAAAATTATTGTCCGATTTTTGGCTACCAGTTATGAGTTATAAAATAGCACGTGTAGAAAACCCATGATAAGACCGTGACGGGCGTCCAATTTGTTAACTAGGAAGGTTATTAGCTATCGGGGAAAGTTATCGAAGGGAGTGCTGCAGCTTTAGTTACAGCTGTAAAACGGATAGAACTGTTGGATTAGAATAGTTCGACTATAACATTACGCTAAGTACTTGCAGCTTTACCCTCGGAATCGCAACAACTTAAAGGCGTAAAAAGTGTGTGTGCTTGAATTTTTGCGATATTAACATGATTGGCGTTATACTCATTGAATTTAAGAGCAGAAAAAAAGTGGCAAGAAAAAGGAGGGTGCAATTACTTTTCGCTCGCAGACTTATTTTGTGACCTGTCAGTCGGGACAACCACAGAAAATCCCACGTAGATGTCAGTAGAGTTTCATTTGTCGTTTTCTTATCGCAATAGCGTGTCGTAATAAGACTAATACGAGAAGTTTGATGCAGCAGAAGTCTGCAAAAGAAAGCTAGGTGAATTTTTGCTGGTCTGATATTTAGGAATTACGACTCAGGAACTGATACTTTGCAACAGCTCATTTTATTTTGTGTGCACAATTTTGCCTACGTCAGTAGCTCGTGGCAGCTCGATCCAAGCAATTCTAGATGGATCGCGTCGTTCGTACAAGAACCTGCTTTCACAAACGATATAGAACGAATCACACTACAGAATTAGTACTGCGTCTCCTCTATTATATATCTGCTGCTTGCCGGACAGTACACTTCTTAAAAGTATGTCATCGTCACCACGCTCTCATTTATGCTAATAGATTTTTCTTACTAGTGTTCTGATTTTGCAAACAATACATGAATGGATTTTTGAGCCCAAGGCTTATCAGCGCACCACGTCATGACTGTTGAGCGTCCCT